CAGATGCTGAAGCTCTGCTCCTGCTCCAGACGTGTGTCCTTCAGCTGTGTGTGTGTGTGTGTGCTGAAATCTGGAGAACAGTGTCTTCAAGTGTCTCTCCCAGTGGAGGAACTTCTCTATTCTGGAGCATCCAGACACGTGAAGGAGGAACGAGACGAGACGAGCAGACGAATCAGGCCTGGACACACACACACGGCTCCCTCGCGTCTCACCCGCTGCTCAGGGTCACACACCATTCATCCTTAATTACTGTTATTTCAGTCTGTCTGGAGCACGCTCTCATCGGGGGATGATGTTTTTAAGGGAGGAGAGATAAATTCATTTCAGGCCGTTTACAGTCTTAGAGATTTAATTATTTTAAGGCTGCAGCGATTAAACTGTTGCGCGTCGTCCAGCAGTGTTCGGGCCGGCGATGTGAATCAAACCTCAAACTGTGTGAGTTGTTGAGGAAACAGTGTGAAGGTTCTTTCAAATCAGCATTAAAGTATTAAAATACTCTGCTTTCGAAATTCAAATTATTACACTCTAATTTTTTTAACCTAATCATGGGTTAAACCTTTGGGGTCATTTTTTGGGGGTTATTTTTTCAATGTTTGAGTAGTGTTTGTGTAACCCAGATCCTGGGTCAGACGTAACAACCCAGTGTTTGAGTAGTGTTTGTGTTAACCAGATCCTGGGTCAGACGCAACCCAGTGTTTGAGTAGTGTTTGTGTTACCCAGCTCCTGGGTCAGACGTAACAACCCAGCGTTTGAGTAGTGTTTGTGTTACCCAGCTCCTGGGTCAGACGTAACAACCCAGCGTTTGAGTAGTGTTTGTGTTACCCAGATCCTGGGTCAGACGTAACAACCCAGCGTTTGAGTAGTGTTTGTGTTACCCAGATCCTGGGTCAGACGTAACAACCCAGCGTTTGAGTAGTGTTTGTGTTACCCAGATCCTGGGTCAGACGTAACAACCCAGCGTTTGAGTAGTGTTTGTGTTACCCAGATCGTGGGTCAGACGTAACAACCCAGTGTTTGAGTAGTGTTTGTGTTACCAGCTCCTAGGTTAGACGTAACAACCCAGTGTTTGAGTAGTGTTTGTGTTACCCAGATCCTGGGTCAGACGTAACAACCCAGCGTTTGAGTAGTGTTTGTGTTACCCAGATCCTGGGTCAGACGTAACAACCCAGTGTTTGAGTAGTGTTTGTGTTACCCAGCTCCTAGGTTAGACGTAACAACCCAGTGTTTGAGTAGTGTTTGTGTTACCCAGCTCCTAGGTTAGACGTAACAACCCAGCGTTTGAGTAGTGTTTGTGTTACCCAGATCCTGGGTCAGACGTAACAACCCAGTGTTTGAGTAGTGTTTGTGTTACCCAGATCCTGGGTCAGACGTAACAACCCAGCGTTTGAGTAGTGTTTGTGTTACCCAGATCGTGGGTCAGACGTAACAACCCAGTGTTTGAGTAGTGTTTGTGTTACCCAGCTCCTAGGTTAGACGTAACAACCCAGCGTTTGAGTAGTGTTTGTGTTACCCAGATCCTGGGTCAGACGTAACAACCCAGTGTTTGAGTAGTGTTTGTGTTACCCAGCTCCTAGGTTAGACGTAACAACCCAGTGTTTGAGTAGTGTTTGTGTTACCCAGATCCTGGGTCAGACGTAACAACCCAGTGTTTGAGTAGTGTTTGTGTTACCCAGCTCCTAGGTTAGACGTAACAACCCAGTGTTTGAGTAGTGTTTGTGTTACCCAGATCCTGGGTCAGACGTAACAACCCAGTGTTTGAGTAGTGTTTGTGTTACCCAGCTCCTAGGTTAGACGTAACAACCCAGCGTTTGAGTAGTGTTTGTGTTACCCAGATCCTGGGTCAGACGTAACAACCCAGTGTTTGAGTAGTGTTTGTGTTACCCGGCTCCTAGGTTAGACACAACCCAGTGTTTGAGTAGTGTTTGTGTTACCCAGCTCCTGGGTCAGATATAACAACTCAGTGTTTGAGTACTGTTTGTGTTACCCAGCTCCTAGGTTAGACACAACCCAGTGTTGTTACAGTGGAAACGGGACAATAGAGACAGGCCGATTACACTTCAATTACTTATAAATGTTTATTTTTTACTTCTAATATTTGTTAAATGAGCTTAAATGTATGCAATATGCGACCCAAATTGGGTTGGGGTGTTTTTAGAGTGTTTTGTGAATGATCATTTTGAATCACTGGTCAGTCTTCTCTCTGGTGATGTATGTAGGATTCCTCCAATCATTTAGTGTGCTTAAGCCCCGCCTCTTCAAGCTCATCTGCATACACGCCACACCCACATCTCAAAAATCCAATCAACAACTGACACACAGAACCAAGCCCCGCCCTACGTTCTTTTGTTTTCGATACCCCGTTCCACTTGGATGCTGCATGGCTGTGATCCCGCAGAGTGTGTGTGGATGATCTGAACACACTCCTGACGGCTGCCAGCGTCCCGCCGCTCAGGTGACAGAGGAGGCTCTCTTTAACTGCTAATGGACATCACCAGCTGTCCACACAGGTAGATCCTGATCCCTGCCCTGAGCCATCTGTGCATCATCACTGAGAGAGAGAGGGAGAGAGAGAGAGGAGTCTGTGGCCGGAGCTGGGAATAAAGAAACGGAAGGAGGGATTAATGGAGAGGGCATAATGAGAGAGAGAGAGTGGTGTGCTCCCGCTGGAATAGAGCCAGCTGTCACTCACAGCGCTGTCGGACACCTGCACTTCTTTCCCACACTCGCTGGTGTCAAGAGCTTAATCATGTGACCCAATGCAAATCACAGCTGATCTAGGATCAGCTCTCCGTGATGGGTTGTGCTGAACTGGTTTGCTTTTGACATGATGACTATGGAGCATTTAAACCAGTTATCAATTTTTAAAATGTAAATGCCAAATGCAGTTTTATTAATTTAAAATCAAGTGCATGATCAAAAGAGGTGTACTTCTGTAATGCATGACAAAAACGTAACAATTTTAAAATGTACTTCAAAATAGACTTTGTATTTATGACAAAGTGTACTTTTTAAAAGTGTTAAAGTCCCCTGCAGTCAATGAGTGTATCCCTTTAAACTCTTCTTTAGTCACCAAAATTACATATTTAAACATTTTTTCCTTGAAAAAAATTCTTCATGCCTTAAAATATCTTGAGTGTAACTCGACACCCTCGCGTCATTTAGTATGCGCAGGTCTATGAATATGCAAATGAGCCCGCCTCCACTCACTCACTCGGCTCACCACTGGTTGACGATCACGCGTTGATCTGATTGGTTACAAGGTGGTTTGTGACGTCAGAAACACCAGTGTGTTTTTGAGACTGTCTTTGGTTCACTGCAGTTTTAAGGAGGAAATACTCAGCAATGCTGTCCACTTATCAACACACACACACAGTGTGTGTGTTAAAGCGGATTAAACACACCACATACAAACATCAACAACATTAAACGCTGGATTCACACCACAGGGGGACTTTAAAGATCATAGTCATGAAAGTGTAAAAAGTTGCCTTTTATTTTATTAACATATTTTCAGCAAGTACATGTTTTTAAATAATAGACTTTTAAGATTTAAAATTCACACTAAACTTCACATTTCAAACTATTTGTTTTTTACAAACGTAGGAAAGAAGGTTTCTGACATTTACAGTAATGGGGAAATTATTGTCGCTCACATTTTCTTCATAAAATGTCAAACATAGTTTATCAGCATTAATCATTAATCATCCATCACTCCCAGAGAATGTCCCTGGGTCAAAGGTGACGGGGTCAAAGGTGACGGGACCCTGGCTGAGATAAGCAGGACTGCTGCTGTACAACTAATCAAATTATATTCTTAAATATTAACCACTGCACTGTTGGAAAGCTAGAATTCTGCTGTTTTTTGATTTACAAATGTGTCCAGAGATCTCCTGTAACGGAGTCTCCGCTGCAGACCTTTACAGGGGTTTCTTTCCTTCTTTAGCACTGTGGCCCAATCAACATGTGCATTAAAGCCCATTTCTGTCGCTTTAGGGAAAATCATATCATGCAGAATTATGATATTTAAAGTCAATTTAATGACATAAAGGTTGAAGTTATTTCGTCCGTTGGTTATCAGCATTCAAACTAAACTTGTATTGGGATTGAAACGGAAAGCTAGAGAAAGATTTCCTTCATCATAACAGTAAACACTCGAGGTCGTGTCATGCGTGAGATATGGCAAGCCAGAAGGGTCAGAAACCGAATCGTGTTTACATCGCAAAAACCGTGTTTGAAAGCTCCCGGATTCTGCTCTCACTCTCGCCCAAACTCCCGCTAGGATAACAGAAGCTGTGCTAATTGTAAAATGAATGTACAGTGTGTTTACCTTAGGATTCAGTGTATGTCCAGGGGTGAGTGGACTCTGATTGGCCACCACGATCACATGCCAACAACCAACTAAGTCATCACTTTAAACTGAAAAATGTAAATTATAAGATAAAAACTCAGCAGTGGTTCGATCTTCAGCTGGCTGACAGGAGTAGGGACCAAGAGTCAAGTGGGGTAACTGTATTTTCAGTGCATATAAGTACTCGTGTTGGAACATTGCGCTCCAATAGGAATGTGTGCTGAGTCAGCGGATGGATATGTGAACTCTCGTGTGCCACACTTGTTCAGTAAACCAAGTATGTTAAACGCTACTGCGAGTCTGTGCCGCATTTAGAGTTATGTTGAGGGAATAAACATAACAGTAACCGTCCCCAGAACATCAATCATAACGAAGAACATAATCATATCAACAGTTTCATAATGAATGAGCTAGACAGGGAGGAACACAAACTGCTGACAGGTCACGTGACATGCTGAAGATTGAACCCCCACTTTAAAATCTATGACTTTTTATGTGATAATTATGGCTTTTATGTCTTTGAGCTTTATTTTATTATTTATCTTAAAGCTATGATTTAGAAAAGCTGTTTTTTTTCTTATGTGGCAGAAATGGGCTTTCATAAAAGTGCACTATTTATAAACTGTGATAAAACTTTTATCTAGAAACAAAGTCATGCTTATCATTGGTCATGTTGAAGCACCTATTAAACGACACACACACACACACACACACACACACACCAACAGCATGATGTTGAATGGTGATGAATGTCCCTGAGGCCCCCTGGAGGATGGAGCCTGTCATTACAGGACTGTTGTGGAGTGCTCAGGCTTGCTGAGGCTTCTGGGAAGAATCAGTGTGTCCCTCCACTCCTGGTGTTGCCTAATGAGATCAAACACAAATCAAGAAAAGTCACTCTGATCCGAACTACAGCAAACAATATATCAGGCAGATTATTGCTGTTACAATTATTACAACTGTTTAACACTGAATATAATAATTGTTTGTTGATCATCCGATATTAGAGTGATTTGTGAAGGATCATGTGACACTAAAGACTGGAGTAATGATGATAAATTCAGCTTTGATCACAGGAATAAATTACACTTTACTGTATATTCACATAGAAAACAGATGATTTACATTATAATAACATTTCACTGTTTTACTGTATTTTTATCAAATATGTGCAGCTTTAATGAGCAGAAGAGACTTTTTCAGAAGCATTAAAATAATCTTACTGAACCCAAACGTTTGAACACTAGAGTATTAATGATGGAAGTTTCATCAGTTCCTTAATAGTAATAATTCACAAGATCAGGGGATTTTCTTAAATAAATTAAACTTTAAATAAATGGAAAACATTTTCATGCTGAAATACTGATTTATTAACCAATAGAAGATATTAATGAACAGACACAGACTGACAGTCACGTCTCCCTGAAGTTCACATAATCTGACTCGCTGCGGGGCTGGAAGACAAAAACAAGAATCAGTTATTAGTATTAATATTAAAATATATTATTATATTACAATATAAGTATTTACCAAATTTGATAAATCCCTTTTTTTAACCCAAATGGGGAAAGATTTATGGCCAGAATCAGTTCATTGTAATACACACACACACACACACACACACACTAGATGTACCTCAGTGTTTGTTGTTAGTTCAGCCATGATCTCATAAGCTTCTTCACAGGCCTGGAACAACAGAAACAGCAACACACATTCAAGACTAGTAATGATGATGATGATGATGATGATGATGATGATGAAGCACTGCTTCTGAACTCACGTGTGGGGACTGTTCCCCGTGCATCATCACGTACTGGCCCTCCTCTGCTGGACTCAGGAATCCTGAAAGAATAGGTGCAGTTTAAAAACAGTTCGCTATAAACCTATAAGACTGCCCATTATAGTTCGCCAGACAACAAAAACATTTAAAGTTTAAGTTATGAAAACATTATTTCTCTGAACATTTAAAGCGCCCAGCGTTTTAAAAAAGTGGTTTAAAAAAGAAATGATTGGTTATGTGAACATTACATTGTTTCATTCTTCAAAGATTACGGAATATTACTTTTGAATGTTCCTGAAACAAGTAGAAACATTTAAAAAAACATGAAATTAACGTCCGACTAAAACGTTTCAGGGAAATAAAAAGCGTTTTATAAACAATATGTAAATAATGTTTTTGTGCCAACATTTTAGAACATTATTAAAGTCCTAATCATGTTTGGTTAACGTTAGGAGAGCAACTGCAGAACTTCCCCTCAGAAACACTTACTTTCTTTGATAAACGTGAGCAGTTTCAGTGCTGAGTAAATGATAATGATCAGGAGAATTTCCAAAATCACAGGCAACAGAAAGAAAACAGCCGTCCTACAATAACAGAAGACGGACAATATTTGAGCTTTTGAATAACTGCATGCATGAAAATGTCAATGCTGGTATTTTGGCAAAAACGTAAAACAAAAGCCACAATGTACTATTGGAAGTTGTGAAATTCAAAAAGACATAATGGTTATTATGAATAGTTGAATACTCTATGATTTTCTGTTTTTTCTACATATTTTCACAAATATTGACAAAAATGAAGAGAATATCATCTATCCAAAAAGTAACCATAAGCAACAAGCTATTATATGGTTTATTTTACTTTTATATTTTGAAACTGCCTGCAATGATTATATGACAAAAGAGCAGCTTGGACATTATAAACAATATCTGCTTTTATGTTGCACTAAAGCATGGTTTCATAAACTGGGGCTATTAGTAGTTCAGAAAGGATGGAGAGAGTAAAGGCTGGTCTGAGATCTGTGCTAGTGCTTCACCTGTTGCGAGCGCTGGGTGTGATCTCGTCTGTACGGTTGTGTACTGTAATATGCACAGGCATCTGCAGCTGGCGTGTTGAGCACAGGTACCAGCCCGTGTTCTTCATCTTCAGTTTGCTCAGTATCACCGTCGTCACGTGTTCCTGATGGTGTCTGATCTCGACCTCGGCCCCGTCTATAGTCCCTCGGTCCGTCACGCAGAGCCCGTGGAGCTGACACCACTGCACCGGCGCTTCCCCCTGATGAATGCAGGACACGCTGACGCTTTTGCCCTCGGACACGTTCTCGATCTGGCGCTGCACAGACAGCCTCGGCCGGCCTGCAGAAACATCAGTGTGTCACAATCACAATACTGTCATTCACACTCATGTTGTGTGGAACTCATTGCAAGTAGGTTGAGGGACGTAATCAGATTACCTTCTTTAGTCATTAAAAGTAATTAGTAAAGTAAGGCATTACTTTTTCAATTTAAAGCAAAATATCGAAGTTAGTTTTCAAATACAGTTATCGTGTCATACCGTATGTATGGACTGACAGCTCTCATGTCGTGATGTGTGTGTTTGTGTGTGAGTCTGACCTGCTGTGACCTCCAGGGAGAAGTTGTCCGGTTGACCAGGTCCAGAAGGAATGACAGCAGGACAGGAGAACTGATTCGACTCCCGGACATCCTCCATGTGGACCGTCAGGACCTTACGGTTGTGCGAAAAAGCATATGTCTGTTTATATAAACATGGAATTATGATAGACTGTCCGCTCTGAACAGACACTGTCCTGACCGTATTGACATCTTGAGAACCTGACAAAAAAGAAAAATTACAAATTAAAATATTGAATTAATCCAAAAGTCTGTGGCTTTTTATGCTATTTTGATTTATTTCAACATATTTTCATATATTCAAATAAATACATACATTAAAATAACACTTAAAAAAATCTTAAATATTTCTCATTTAAGATTTAATTTTTAAATTTAAAAATAATGAGTCCGTTCAGTTTATTTCTTCAGCACGTTTAATAACATCAACAAGCCTGACCAAAGTGCTGTACAATATAAAATGAAAAGATTATAAGATAAGAGATAAAAAGAAACATAGAAGAACAAAACAAAGTGTTAAAAGCCAATGAGAAACAGTATGTTTTAAGACTAGATTTGAGTGCAGATAAAGTAGAAGCAGACCGAAATTAATGCGGTTTGGAGGCAAATCACAGAAAAGCTCTATTAAAGTGTGGACACATTATTGAGTGAGTTCTTGGAATTTGCCGTTTTGATCTTCAGACGTTAGTGAGGGATTATAGTGGTGGAGTAAATTTGACAGATAGTTCAGCATTTAATTATGTAAAGATGCATAGATCTTTCAGACAGGGAGTGACATTTTTACAGAAATACTTTTCAGAAATTGTGCAGCTGCATGTTGAACCACTGCATGGTAAACAAGAAATCTGAGATTAGATTTACCACTAGATGGAACTGCAATAAACAAACAAACTAGAACCAATCAGAGATAATATGCTTATTAAACTTCAGAGAATTGTCAAAGAGAATTGGCATCTCCACTTCTGTGCTCCTATGAGAGCTCTCCGGCCTGCCCTCCAGCCGGCCCAGCCCAGCTCACCCTCACCCTCATCTCACCCTCAGCTCACCCTCACCCTCACCCAGCCAGCTCATCTCAGCTCACCCTCACCCTCATCTCATCTCACCCTCACCCGCCTCGCCCAGCCAGCTCACCTCATCTCACCCTCACCCTTACCCAGCCAGCACAGCTTTTAAACTATTTGTATAACTATTATAAATTGTATTTATAACTTTAATTGTCCTTGCTTTTATTTTGTGATTCATTTTTATTTATTTATAAATTCAGGCAAGGCAAACTTATTTAAATAGCACATTTCAAACACAATGGTAATTCAAAGTGCTTTACATGGAAGAAATTAAAATAATCAATAAATCAGAATAATTAAAACTATGTTAATCGCTTTGATTTACCATAGTGAATGAAATGAAAGCAGTGAAGTGTATGGACGTGTGTGTTATTGTTCTCACCAGAGAGTTTGATCAAGATGAAGACGAACAGAAGACCGTCTCGATCCATCGCTGGCTCATTGTGAAGATGTTGTTGGTAATGTGTGTGAAATCTTTCATCTCTTGTTCCTCTTTTTCTGCAACACTCTTCAATATGTGGCAAGAGTATATTTGTGGGCAGTGTGACACAACTAATTATTTATAACAGTTTTTAAGTCATTGGAAACCAGTGTGATGCATTTCCTCCGAAGAGAAAAAGCATTAATTGACAGATCTGTTTGACCAATGACTTTTACTCCACAAAGTATTTCTTAAACTTAACTAAAAAAGAAAGAAAGAAAGAAGCACGATTTACACCCACAGTTTTTCCGCTTCATGAAAACGAAGCCTCGGACTCTGAAACGCTGAGGAAATGAAGCTTTTGAACACAGTCGACGACACTCAATGAACCATAACCCACTGGAAAACTAACCGTCTGACATTTACTCAACTCTGCATGCATGCTTTCACTCATTACAAGTATGCTAAAATTCTGTTTGATTGTCATGTTACAGGTGAAATTGACTGTAGGCAAGTTTATTTATACAGCACATCTCATACACTATGGCAATTCAAAGTGTGTTACACAAAGGAATTAAAATAAGCAAGGAAATTCAAAACAGATATAAAAGAAATTAAAAGAGATATATGATACAGTTATAAAACGAATGAAAAGAGTAAAAAGATGATGCATAGATAAACTTCTCATTTGTCAAAGGCCCTTTTGTATAATTTAGCACAACACCCAGATTTACTCTGAGATTTTCCCAAGTCTCTAAATTGAATGTGGATTCAATACAATACAATCGCAATATAAAAAAGAAAAGTAATATAATATAAAAATAGTAAACCTGTAACATTAATACTTCTTAAACATTACAAAAAAGTAAACATGAGAAAATATGGTTTATAAAACAGCATTGAATTTGACAAAATGTGAACATGATATTTTTTTATGTCATTTAAATAAATTAAACATTTATATATTTTATGTACTCTAACAGTGGAGCAGGCTCTCGCAACGCTACGATCAAGGGTTCAATTCCCAGCAAAATTCACATGAATAAAAATATCATAACATAGAAATTTCGTTCACATTTTCATCAACAGCTCAACGTGTCGAAACTTTAGCCAAAATGAGAAACAGCGAGACAACTTCAAGAAAAACATCTTAGTATGACAGTCATCATCTGGAACGTCATATAAAGGTTAAAGAAAAAACAATCCTCACATGATGTATTTTTCACATCACAGAAACCAAGGGCTGAAGGAAACTAAACATACTGCTGTTCTTCACCCATAAAGACTGATCACACAGAGGACATGTGTCTGCTTATATAACTATTGCACTATTCGGACCATACATTCATATATGTTTTTATTATCCATTTCAGGCAGCTAACAGCACACAAAAACACACACGAAAACACACACAAGAACAACAAAGTTAGGTTTCCAAGAACCCACATTAATACACTGTAAAATAATGTATATATATTACTGTATTAACAAATATTATATAAAAAAGTACCTGAATGATTTGTTTATTTCCAGTCATGGTTTCATAAAGATCTTCAACCTTGCTGTGTTTCTCATTCCCCTGTTTAGAATTAAATGTATGAATACATTAATAATAACAACAACAGCAGTTTATAGTTCAAGCAGATACAAAAATACCTGAATGTTTTGTGTATTTCCAGTCATGGTTTCATAGACATCGTCACATGTAACCTGCTCGCATTTCTCATTTCCCTATTCAAAGTAAAATATATAAATACATTTCACAACAATAGCAGCAGCGGCGTATAGAGCAAGCAGACGAATGATAGAAAAAATGACCTGCGTGTTTTGCTTGATTTCAGTCATTTCATAAAGATTTTCACATTTAACCTCCTCATTTTTCTCATTTCCCTATTTAAAACAAAATTAATAAGTAAATTAATAACAACAGGTATATTTAAAAGTGCAAGTAGGTATGCTAGAAATATTATATAAAAATTACCTGAATGTTTTGTTTAATTCCAGTATTTTTATAGAGATTTTCACATGTAACCTCCTCGTTTCTCCCACTTCTCTGTAAAAAAAAAAAAAATAAAAAATACATTATTATCATCATAAATAACAATATTAATAAGAGTGATCAGAATCTGTTATTTTTCCAACAGCCATGCATCACACACATGACAGTAAGAGTGAACGTGTGTCGATGGACGCTCGCTTACGCTGGGCCAATGTTGATCGCTCATGCCTTCAGACGGACCCGGAGGATCAGCTCTCCGCTCTGCACACACACACACACACACACACGTAATAATGCACATATTCTGCTCTCTGATCAAACATCGTTGTCGTCCACAGAGAAGCGGTCAGTGGTTTTTCTCTTAATATCCAGTTGTCCTGTTACTCAGTTTTGTATTCGGCACTTCAGTATCTTCTTCTCCCTTTCCTTTCACACTTTTATCTCATTTACCCGTACTCAGCATGTGCTTTCAATACATTCTCTCCAACAACCTCTCTTTCGCTCACACCCCTCGCCAGTCGGTCTTCTCATTTCTAACAATTAGAAACACTCAACTCTCTCTTCTCGATGTAATAATATCTTGTTTGAATATCATGCCATTACACTTACAACTCCCATTGAGATCTTCTTCATTACTTTCAATCTACAACTCGCTACCCATGCTACACCAACTCCCCTACCAGTTACTTTCAGACGAAACCCGCGCGCACTTTCTCCGTCCCATCTCTCCTCCGGTTCAGCACACACTACTCCTTTAACCCCCGTTTATCTGAGGCTCTTCGTGAGCACCGGACCGAATTTAGGGTGATGGAGAGGAAATCAAGACACATCTGACCTGAGTAGGTATCGATCAATGCTCCCTGCCTTTTCTGTGGATGCTCATGCTGCAAAATCTTCATATTCCCACAACACGATCAACAGCATCTCCAATACACGTTCACTTTACAAACCTCTGTCCACCTCCACCACCTCCTCGCTAACTGCTGATGATTTTGCCAACTTCTTCACTAACAAAACAACAACTATACGGAGTCAGTTCTCTAATCCACACACACAGGAACCCAGACTACCCTCTGCCACAGCCAGTAACCTTCTCTCCTCCTTCTCTCCTCCTTCTCTCCTCTTTCTCTCCACTAACCGAGGAAGAAGTGTCTAAGCTTCTCCTCTCCAGTCATCCTACCACCTGCCCTCTAGACCCCATCCCCTCACATCTCCTACAAGCAATCTCTCTCACACACACACATCACCAATTCATCCCTCTACACTGGCAAACAACATTAAACACATCACTTGTAGAAGCCCTGTGGATCACAAAAGCTGCTTCCAAATCATCCGTCCTCATCCTCCTGGACCGGTCTGCTGCCTTCGACACTGTGACCCATCAGATCCTCCTGTCCACCCTCTCATCTCTGGGCATCACAGGTACTCCTCTCCACTGGTTTGAGTCCTATCTCACAGGTAGATCAGGGTCGCATGGAGAGGCGAGGTATCCAAAGCACATCAGCTGACCACAGGGGTTCCCCAGGGTTCAGTGCTTGGACCGCTCCTCTTCTCCATTTACACCACATCACTGGGACCCATCATACAGGCTCATGGTTTTTCTAAACATTACTACACTGATGATACCTAGATCTACCTCTCATTTCAACCAGATGATCCCACAGTAGCTGCACGAATCTCAAACTGTCTGGCGGGCATCTCGGCATGGATGAAGGAACATCACCTGCAGCACAACCCGACTAAGACTGAGCTTCTCGTCCTCCCTGACAATCCGTCACTTCAGCACGACTTCACTATCCAGCTAGATTCTTCCTCAATCACCACATCAAGGTCAGTCCGAATTCTTGGAGTAACCTTTGAGGACCAGCTGACCTTCACAGACCACATTACTAAGACAGCTCCATCATGGAGATCGGACAACAACATCAGGCCTTTCCTAACTGAACATGCAGCAACTTCTTGTTTCTAGGCTTGATTACTGCAATGCTCTTCTGGCTGGACTTCCGGCATGCGCTATTAAACCTTTACAAATGATCCAGAATGCTGCTGCTCGTCTGGTCTTCAACGAGCCCAAAAGGGCCCACGTCACTCCTCTGTTCATCTCTGTGCACTGGCGGCCACTCGCTGCTCGCATCCAGTTCAAGGCGTTGACTCTTGCTTACAGATCGACCACTGGCTCAGCTCGCTCCTACTTTCACTCGCTCCTACGAGTCTACATCCCTACCAGAAGACTACAATCGATCAATGAGCGACGGCTCGTGGTACCATCACAGAGAGCCTCAAAATCACTCTCCAGAACATCCTCGTTCACGGCTCCATGATGGAGGAGTGATCTCCCCACCCTCACCCGGAAAACGAGAATCCCTGACAGCATTCAGACGACTCACGCAAACTCATGAGTCACCTCAGAACAAATGAAACTCTTTCCTTTCTCCTTAATCCTCCCTTGACTGGCCTATGCTCCTCTGAGAAATGCCTTGCGTTGTTTTTGCCTCTTCACGATGACTAGCTTTAATTTAGTCCTAATTTGTAAGTCGCTTTGGATAAAAGCGTCTGCTAGATGGCGAAATGTAAATGTAAATATCCGAGTCTCTCACTTCTTCTGATGTTTCGTCCGATCAGAGCCACAGCCACACAGAAGATCGCGGGCAGCATCGCTCCCAGAACGGCCCGCCACAGGAGACTCGGACCCCACGCCACGCTGAAATCAGGAGTAGAGGAGGAGTAATGTCTCCGGAGGAAGTCACCTTTATTTATATAGTGCTTTTACAACACAGTGTTAAAGCAGCTTTACAAAGATAACAGGAATATAATACTACAAAGTTTGTTTCCAGAAGAAAATAGTGTCACAGTTCAGCTTAAGTAAATTGGGTGATGTTTGAATTTTGCTGTAAAAAAAGTTATTGATTTAGTTTATTTAAATAAAGAATGAGAGAAAATCATACTCTGGAGAAAACCAGCTCAGTTCTCATATAACGGTGTCAATGCAAGAGATCAACAATATTGAATATGAAATGAAATGTGTATCTTACTTGTCTTGGCTGACTGCTGTGCTGTGGCCTGTGTAGGGAACAGTAACTGGTCTGGCCTTCCCCACACTGATATGAACTGGCATCTGGTATTTCCCATCGGAGCAGAAGTACCATCCACTGTCCTCTATCTTCAGCTCGCTCAAGCTCACGCTCAGAGCCTCGCCGTCTCCACTGACATGAGTTTTATCTGAGCTTTCCTCGCCTCTCCCAACACACGAGCCTCCGAGCCGACACCACAGGTGCGCTCCGTGACAGAGGACGGAGACGCTCCCTCGCTCGTAGCCGGACACGCTCTGACTCGACACGTGGAGCCGGGCCTTGCCTGGACAGGTCACACTGAACGTCAGAGGCACGTCTAAATGTGTACATTCAGGAATATGACAAGAAGGAAACTATGGAAGCTTGTTTGCGCCACAGACTAAAAAATAAAAAAGGTAATTGCAACTTTTCATCTTGCAATTCTTGTAATTGTGAGATATAAATATGCTATTGTTATATGCTAATTTATAATGTCTGAAATGCTTAGAGTTACAAGATAAAGTCACAATTGCAAGAAACTCAAGATAAAGTTATAATTGTGAGAAAGTCCGAATTTTGAGATATAAAGTCAATTGCAAGAAAGTGTGAATTTCAGGATATAGTTAGATTTGGAAGATAAAGTCGTAATTGTGAGAAAGTTAGAATGGGAAGAAAGAAATTCAAAATTGCGAGATTACAAATTTATTACAAGATTTTGAATGGTAATTTTTCGTACGAATTTTATGAGGTGGCTGAAGCCGCCTTTCCACTGCACACGACATTCGCATACGATTGCCGCATTTCGCCCCCTAGTGTCAGTCGCACGGAACTTTGAAAGTGGTCGTGAAGCAACCGTTACCCTCGGATATTCACAATGGTCAAATTAATGATTTTAATTAATGTAATGCATGCATTAATATATATACACAAAACAAATGACCCTCAATACATCTGAAATAAAAACATAGTAGATTTTATAGAGCTAATCAATATAGATATTGATTTAATAATTGTAAAATATTTTCATAGTTAATAACCGACATTTTACAGAAAGAGCGTTTACAGAAAAACATAAGAGTTAAAATATTGGTAATTCTAGCCTCGCGTTCATAATTTTGATTAGAAGAATAAATCACATAAGGTCGCATAAGTTCTAGCCGCAGAAGTTCAGATATTTCAACGGATCCAAAGCTCAAATCGGATCCGAATTTTCCACATACGCAAATGATCGGAACTCCCCGCAGCTCCCGTACGACTCTCCATTGGAAATGAATGACTTCCGGTCCGACGGCGGTCGTTTGTCGTGTGCAGTGGAAAGGCGGCTTGATATCGTAATAATTCGTACGACCTCAGTCATTACGAATTAGTAGGCTACGATTTTTGCTAAATCGTACATATTATATGAGTTGGCCAATCAATGAATTCGTATGAATGATCTACTCCTGACCCCGCCTCTAAACCTACCCATCACGTGGGTTTAGACAAATCGCACGAATTTGTACGAGTGAAGCCCCGTTCACACTACACGCGACTGTCGCTGCAGGTCGCCAGTGGCTGCGCTGGAGGGCGTTCCCCACTACTGGTTGCCTAGTAATGTTTGTGAGTGACACGGATGTTGCTCTATGTTAGACAACAAATGCGTTTTATTGATGCTACAAACAAATATTTTGTAAAGTCTAAATGGAATCAGTACATAAAATGCATAATATTAAAGATGAACGAGAAACAGTGAGTTCTCTTTGCCATCGCGGCTATTTAACTGCAGTAAACGTGCAAATACCGGTGGGTTCCCGAAACCATTTCAGTCACAGAGTCAGTATGGTGAACACCACTGTATGTAGGCCTACACGGATAGTTTCTGACTGCTAAAATGAGTTTCTCGTTCAACTTGCCTCGGTCAGACTCAGCACTGAAGAGTCACTTCACTCCTATTGGTTGTCGCTCACGAAAATCGCTCTTCATGTGCATAAAGTTAAACATTTCTCAACTTTGTCGCGTCGCTGGACACGCCCCACCAGTCGCCGACGGTCACCGGAAGTCGCCCGCTCACCATTGAAAAGGGTATCGTGAACGGGGCTTGAGGTCGTATGAATTAGTAGGCTACAGCGACTTTTTAATCACTCGTACAAATTCGTATGAATTGGTCGTGAGATAGCGTTTCATAATTGTGAAAAAAGTCAGAATTGTAAAACGTAAACTCGCAATTATGAGAAAAAAGAATTAAGAGATAAAAACAATTGCCCCATTTTTATTCTGTGGGATAAACAAGCTAAACACCTGGATTGATTTACATACACAAAATACCTTTGATAACCTCCAGGTCGAGTCGTGCGTGCGGATCAGACCCAGAACTCTCGACGGCACACCAGTACGGGCCGGAGTCGCGCTTCTCGGCGCTGCTCAGCGTGGCCGTGAACACCTTCTCCTCTCGGTCATCCGACACACACACTCGGCTGTGCACTTCTCTACTGAAGACCCACACACCTCCAGAACTCACGTATTTACGGTTACTGACATATCTCTCATCATATAAACAAGGGATTATGATGGTTTGGTGTTTTTGAACTGATATTTTACTGACTGTAAGAATATCTTGAGTTTCTGTGAAAGAAATAAAAATAATACAATTATTATTACACTAAAGATTTTATTTAAGCTGAAGTGAAACATAAAATGACAGGCTTACAACGCCTTGTTTCAGAATGCTGCATATGCATATTCCCATCCATGTTATAATGTTACTCAATATTAATATTTCAGCGCATGGCTAAAGATCATTGGGTCGACTGAAGGAAATCTTTATCCTGCGCTGGGCTTGCTCTCAATGTTCTTAAAAACTTGCTGAAGCTGCTTTAATAACTAGAAAAAACAAATCACAAAATTAACGAAGAACCCACATTAGAGGTGTTGATTAAACAGGACACATCATAACTGCTTAAATGTTTCTAAAGATATTCATGTCTGAGGTGAATCTATGAAATAACCTATGCTAAACTTATGATAATATAATTCTCCTTAAGATGTTAAGATGCTTTTCTGTTTGGTTTCAGCTGAAAACACAATTATGTATTCAGTAGATAATACATTAAATATTTACACTGCTAGCTCTTGTCAAGTTGATGGTGATGAATATAAAAACCCAGCTAAATATAGATCAATTGTGCTGAAAAGCTTGATATTCCACACAATATCAGCACTGACTTCAACACACATTCCCCGACAAACTGAGCTTGTGTCGTACCTGAGGAGTGTGTGAGGAGGAACACCACGAGCAGAGTCGTCTTCATCATGCTGACGGAGTGAGAGCGAGCCGATGTCAGCACGACTATATTTATTTCACTCTAGAGAATCTGTGAACAGAGTTTTCACAGCGTGTGTGAGCCGTCGTGCAAACACTACACACTCCACATCTCTCTCTCTCCTCACAATGCACATCATAATACTTCATATTTTAACACTCAATGCCAAGTGGAGAAAAACTCTGTAATGCAAGAGCAGATTCTTGTTATATTTGCCATGATTTGCATGAGCGCGGCCGTTTCTGTTGTTCCTTCCTGCTGTGTGTCAGAAACTCAGTGTTCAAGAACACTTGCAGATCAGATCAAAGATGAGATAATATCGCCTTATGATCAGATCTGTTGCAGACAACAGCTTACAATGTTGAAATTTAGCACACTTTAATCATTTTAACAAAACTAAATGCATGACTATCCAGTGAGGTTGCTGAAGACGAGGACACGGGAACTTCACTGTAGTTCATTTACAAAGCAAGCTTCCAGAAACTACAGTACAAAGGGAAAAAAAACCCCAGGACTTCAGTGCACACAATCGTACATGGACAACGACCAACAAACACTGAGGGAAAACACAGGGCCTAAATGTACTGGGGCGACGGGATCATTAACAGGACACAGGTGATGTCAATTACTAATTAAACTAAACCAAAATCACAAAGACGGGGAAACAAGATTTTTTTTTTTAGTTCTGTAAAGCACTTTGGTCAGTCATTGGCTGCTATAAAATGTGCTATATAAATAAAATAAACTTGAACTTGAACAAGATCACAGAACTGAACTGAACATCACAAACGTGACAGATACAGGATAGCCGGAATGAGAACATTAGTAGTTCCTCAAACTACTTTCAGTACAATATTAGGCCTGGAAAATGACCCGCTGATGCTCTTATGAATGTATGACAGGAACTGCAGTTTTATTGCCAGTGAACAGTAAAGCGAGGCCTTCCGACTCCTGGACTGCCTATGAAAGCCTAAACTGAGTTTGGCACACATGTGACGGCTCCTGCGAGCCTCTTCTGCTCAATGACACTAATATTAGCCATTCTGTACTGTTACATCAAAGATCTGATCAATCATCCACATCACTGCGATCTGATGCTTTCTGAACTGCTGCTTTCTCATGTTGTGTTTCATATTGAGAGGAAAGTGCAGCACATATTTACATATTTACATATTCACCGTCGCTGTCAGCAGGGTCACGTGTTCAATAACAGTATAGGCCTATCACTATAACTAGCCTTGAAGACCATCTCCGTGAGAATACAGGGTCCGAATCCTGTTGAGTCTGTGTGTGTTACGAGCTCCTGCAGTTTCACTGAACGGCCACCGGTGGCGCTATAACAAGAGCTACTCAATTCTACACATAATCTCTTTAAAACTCGTGGTGAGAGGGAAGCAGCGCTGGTGTCGCATATCGAGCGAATCGCTCCTGGAACAAGAACACATGTGGGCGGGGCTTGATTGTGTCTGTGGGAACTGATTGGATGGTTGTGGTTTCATCAGAACATGAGAAGAACTGGTCTAAATACAGGTGATCTAAACTATAATTATAAATCTCGATATATCTACACTCTAAAAAATGCTGGGTTGTTTTAACCCAATTTTGGGTCAAATATGGACAAACCCGAAATGTTGGGTTAAAAATGTAATGTAAAAATTTAACCCAACGGCTGGGTTAGTCCATATTTGACCCAAAGTTGGGTTAAAACAACCCAGCATTTTTTAGAGTGTATATAACTAACTCTAGCTAGCCGTGATCGGTAACTGCGATCCAGGGTTGTGTATGAACCTCAGGTTAGTAGCCTACTTTCTTCCAGCTAAATGTCAAGAAGGTCCTTGTTGTGTTTTCTAGACAGTGTTATGTTGTTTAGTCTAAAGATCTGGCTTTCTATGGTCGTTCTGGTGGCGTTTCTTGATAACGAACTCTGACTTCCTGTGTTGGCCACGATGCACTTAACACACACTTAACACTCACTGTGTCCGTGAAGCACTCGTGCGCTGGGCTGTAAATGACACACACACACACACACGTAAGTGTGTAACACACAACCTCAGGGGAAACACTGACTTTAAACTGCACATCCACATCACACACAGCCGAGCAGACGTGCGTATTAAACAGAAATGTTTGAATAAGATTTCAATATGCAATATTTATCAGACACAATTTAATTCGAATATTTTCTTGTTTATTTATCATTTATTATGGCTTTCGTAAGATAACTAACATTAATTCACAATGAGCAAAGCATTTGATTGCAACCAGTTGTTCTCTGGCATATTCTTTTAGTATGACGACCTCTTATATGTCAAACCTTCAAGGAGAAATTGATTTCTTAGTTCATGACCCCTTAAACAAAATGCCGATGACAAACATCTTTCCAAAAAAAAAATAAATAATAATAATAAAATGTCAAAATATCGATGCAATATATGAGAGCCAGGAAAAACAAGCAGGATTCCTGGACTTTGTATTTATTATGTGTATAAAACGTTTTTCTTTGTTTAAAAGCAGCTGTGAGACTTTCGAAGTAGCCTACCCGTGTCTTTCACAACACTCTGTTCTCTCAGCGTCTGACGGCTTCGGGAATGGAACAAAAGTGTTTAGATAAGAATAACACACACATCTAAAGCGCATAACCACCTCTGAGCCCTAACTGACACAAGCAGGTCACAACCTTTCATTCTTCAACATATATAACGGAAGGAAATACATCATTCAGATAACGAGCTGTGGTGACACGGTAAAACTCATCTACTCGGCGCTTCTGTAAGCTCATATTTATGTATTATTTCTGATATTTATAATATGTATTTTTTAATTATGATCTGTTGAACAAAAACACAAGTTGATCATTTCACAATAGTTGTATTAAATAATTAGCATATACCTATGAATGCTGATCTGCCATAATAATGAGCGTCGGAAACTCATGCATGGTTAATCAATCAATCTTTAAAACCACTGAACTTTTTCTGAACCAAAACTTTTTACAGTTTAACATTTTTAGTTTTACTGAATAGACTTTAAAACAGAAATAGACAAAAACAACCAAATAAAATGTAAAAATTTCAATAATTCCAAATATGAATAAAACCTATATATAATGATCGAGGAGGTTATGCAGATTAGTGTTGATATAGCCTGAAACTCGAGTGACTTGCAGACATTCTGCTCTTGACTTAAAGCGATAGTTCACTTTGAAATGAATTTTTGATATGTTCAGCTTACCCCAAGCGCATCCAAGATGTAGGTGTCTTTGTTTCTGCGGTAGAATGTCATGAGTCATGTAAGTTCACATTGATGGCCTAAGACATGAAACGAGTGGCTTGTGTGAGAAAACGGACAGTATTTATATAGTTTTTACCTCTTGTAACCACAGCCACATCCAAGTGATCTGAAAGCGCAAGCGCTTTGTGGCTGTGGTTACAAGAGGTAAAAACGATATAAATACTGTCCGTTTTCTCACACAAACCGCTCGTTTCTTACATTTTCGAGTCATTAAATCATGTTTAATCTGGACTTCTCTGTGCATGCTCTTTGAGGTGGTGACCATAGACCTCCATTATATGACTGACAGACAAGAACGGTTTGACCTAAAAACATCAAAATTGAAAATACTGTGGAAACAAAGACACCTACATCTTGGATGCCCTTGAGATAAGATAAAACATACCAAAAATTTGTTTCAAATTGACCTATCTCTTTAAGGATTTTGAGGAAAAGAAACACAAACCAAAGTGTTTTCAACATCCTGAGCATTTTGAGATGTTGGTTGATGATGAAAAAATACCACATAATTTTAATCAATAAACACCATATTTAGACCCGATGTTGCATGAGCAGAGAGTGTGTCATGACCTCCTGAACATCAGGGAGCATGAGTGTGTGGTCATCAGCGTGAGAATGGACTCATGTTCACACGGTTCACCACTTCATGTTGAGTTTCCCAGCTTCCTTGTACAAACGTACAGTTCCTGCTCATCTTTCACTCTTACTGTAAGCTTGTTATGATGGACATTTCATCATGATAATGCCGCTCGCTCCTCTGCAAACCTCAGAGATCATGTTTCAAGGCATTTCATTAAGATGTAAGAAGTCTGTCTCATCCTGTCATGATGAAATGATGGGAAATCCTGCCAGATGTGGGATTTCAGGCTCTGGAATGAGTTTCCCATCAATCATTGATATTGATTGAGAATTGCAGGACTCAGTGTTTGCTGATCTTCAGTTTGAGCTTTAGGACTCTGAATTCAAGCTTGTCTTGACAAATACATATTATTCTGAAAACACATCAGCTTTAGTCAAACTTACCAAGAAACCGCGTGTCTATATAATAACAAGCTAAGAAACATCAAACTATTTGAGTTATGACAACTTTGAATGCAATTATGTAACAAACCACACTGAGTTTGAGGAACCTGTAGAATAAGCAACTAAAAAAACTACTGAAAAACCTCAAGAAAAGCTAAGAAAAAATGTTCCAACTTATTTAATGTTGGTCCTGGAACCAATTCATTTTTATATTTCAGCACATGCTATGTGTAATTTAATCAGCATCTAAATTTTGTTCAAGTTTTCAAAGTTATCAAGACAATTTCATTGCTACAACTTAGAGAAATTTGAGTTTATATGATACACAATATTAAGTTGATGTGAACATCAATACATTATGCAAAAAGAATTTACTGAAATAATGTTTGCATGTCTGAGATCTCACACACCTGAAGCGCTCACACTCGTGTGTGTGTTTGCAGTGGTCATCTGATGATGTCATCGCTCTGGCTTTTCTTGAGAACTGACAGTCACTTCCTGTTTTGGTGAGCGGCTCAGATTACCCCAGGGTTAGCGAGACGTGCGTCCCTCAGTATTGCAGTGAAGGAAAACTGCCAGACTTCAGGCTTTAACTAAAACAGCAAAAGAACAACAGTCTCATTATAAATGGTTGATGTGAAACAGTCCAGAAAGGAGCATTCTGTGGTTTACCTCCCTCATGTCGTCCAAACCTCTGACTCTCTTCTGTGGAACATTACAGAGACATCATTCAGGTTTTTTTATTGTACATTTTTAGGTATTGTTTATTAATAAAAATAAAAGTTCCCTGCTGTCACAGATCATCAGATTCGTCTGATCTCAGAACAGTCTCTGCTGTACAACTGTGTCTTCTGAAGACAAGGGCTTTGAGTGATGCGAAACACACACACACACACACACACACACACACACACACACACACACACACACACACACACACACACAGAAGAGAACAGAGCTGGAATAGAGCAGAATATTTAGAATTATAATGTGTGCCTTTATTTTTCTCTCTTTAGAAATATAATGCTCTATATTATGTCAGAAAAAGCTCTTTGTTTTTTATGGATCAGTAATATATTTAGGCATCAGTCTGGCAATTTGAAAAATATGTTTTCAAAGTCATTATATATATATATATATATATCACTGTAAAAAATATTGATGGTTTAACTTAAAAAGTAAGTAACCTGGTTGCCTTAAAATTATAAGTTCATTGAACTGGAAAAAGTGAGTTAATACAATGAAGGAGATTAATTTAACCATCAGAAACTCAAAATAATGAGTTATCTCAACTAAATAAATTATTTAAGTTGATTTGACAAAAGAAAATATGTTGTGATAACAAATCTTGAAAATATTTTTTACAGTGTATATATTATAACATATAACTCTATATGGTTATATATATATACATACATACATACATACATACATATATATATATATATATATATATATATATATATATATATATATATATATAAAACCAAATAACCATATGGTTCATGTAGGCAAGAGTTTTTAATGTTTCTGAAAGAGTCTCTTCTGCTCACCAAAGCTGTGTTTATTTGGTGAAAAAATCAGTAAAATTGTGAAATATTATTCCAGTGTAAATCATCTGTTGTCTATGTGAATATACAGTAAAGTGTAATTTATTCCTGTGATCAAAGCTGAATTTATCATCATTACTCCAGTCTTCAGTGTCACATGATCCTTCACAAATCACTCTAATATGAGGATCAAGAAACATTTATGATTATTATCAGTGTTGAAAACAGTCGTGCTGCTTCATATTACTGTGAAAAATCATCATAAATTTTATTTTTCAGGATTCTCTGGTGAATACAAATTTAAAAAGAACAGCGTTTATTTGAAATATAATCTTTTGTAACATTATAAATGTCTTTACTGTCACTTTTGATCAATTGAATGTGTCCTTGACGAATAAATGTATTAATATCTTTCAAAACAGATTTCGGCTGACCCCAAGCGTAGCCTAGACGGTTTCGACTGTCTAAACCAGGTTATAAACTTGACCAGATCAAATCCTTCGGCAATATGATCAAATTTATTATTATCATATAAAAATATACATGGGAAGTGTTACACACATACAGTAAGACGGACAGGACACAGTACGGCCCTACACTGCGACACAGCTGCCTAAGCCAAATAATACTGATGGAAACAAGGGCCCTTAATGTGGTGCAGACACAAACAACACAACCGTCAGTCATGAGCATTAGCTTCGCAGATGACCTCATCATCTCAAAATAGAACATTTTGCTTCTCTTATGAACATAAAGGTTTTGCAATACTTCATTTAAAAAAATCTATACACATACATTTATTTATATATATAAATTTATAAGCAAGGCATATTGTGTTTACCACTTTACGGATAAGCAGTACGATTGTCATAATTGTTTACATGGCTGGGCTCCTCTTTTCTGGGGGGGGGGGGCAACATTAAAGGAACAATACAATATTACAAATATATCATATTTAAAAAAACTTATCCTCAGGCCACTTGAAAGCTGTGGAAGCTCATTTCTGCCACAGAACAAAAAATGAAACAAGTTTAACTAAATTCTGACGTGTTCTCGCAATTACGGCTTTTAACTCACAATTCTGACTTTTTATGGCAATTACGGCTTTTAAATCACAATTCTGACTTTTTATGGCAATAGCCTCTATGCACGATCGCTTCCGGGTTCGTCTCGGCACGCCCAGTAACATCCGGTGATGCATCGTCAGTCTATGGTCAGAATTACACTCGCTGTTTATAAAAACGTCCCGCGGTTAACGTGATTGATATTAACAACAATGAGGCAGTTAGCTGTCACACAAGAGTGAAAAAGAGAAGTTATTTTAAATTATATATTTCGAGCTACAACAACAACTTTGAGGGTTAGTATTATCTCTTATCGTACGAAATTCGACTAGCGAATCAGCGTTTCTAAAATCGTTGTCTCCGTTTCTGAGCAAACGGATTTTATTAAAGGTTTACGCGCTTCCGGAAGTAAAGACGCTGACTGAGATTCTTTCGGACACACGTCAGCAGGGTTCGTGCATAGAGGCTATTGAGACTTTAAACTCACAATTCTGACTTTTTCTCACAATTGCGACTTTTTAACTAACAATTCAGATTTTTTATGCCAATTGCGACTTTTAACTAACAATTCTGACTTATAATTGCGACTTTTAACTAACAATTCTGACTTATAATTGCGACTTTTTAACTAACAATTCTGATTTTTTTATGCCAATTGCGACTTTTAACTAACAATTCTAACTTATAATTGCGACTTTTAACTCACAATTCTGACTTATAATTGACTTTTTATCTCACAATTCAGATTTTTTCTCACAATTCGAACTTTTAACTCAAAATTCTTCTTTTTTTTTGGCAATTGCGACTTTTATCACAATTCTGAATTTTTATCGCAATTGCGAATTACTCAATCAAAAAATAATGATCACAATTGCGACTCAATTCAGATTTTTTTTCTCACTATTGCAACTTTTTACTTTTTTTTGCAGTTGCGACTTTTTAAGGGACTATTCTGACTTTTTTTCTCAGAATTGTGTAATATAAACTCACAATTGCGGGAAAAAAGTAAAAAAGATTTTTTATTTTTTATGTTAAAAGTCGCAATTACCTTTGTACAGTTTTTATTCCGTGGCAGAAACGGGCTTCTCTAGAAAGCTGATATGTGCTGGAGTAAGTTGGTCCGTGAGAGATCTAAAAGCAGCAGTCGTCTGAACTCGACACGTTTCTTCCGTTTCCGGCTTCACTCGACCTTGAGAAACATCTTCCTTTGGAGAAGGTCCTTCGTTGTGAGGAAAAGTCTGGACTTGATTGTCAGTTTGCAGCGTAATGGTCAGAGTCGACCTGGACAGTGTCCAGTCAGGTGACCTGTGAAGGTCAGAGGTCATGTGGGGTAAGGATGTGGAAAGACAGGATGAGGGCGGAGGAGAGCAGGAAGAAGGAGAGAGAGAGGGATGAGGCGGAGGAGAAGCTGACGGTGGAGAGCTGGAGCTCCGAGTGCAGGAACGCCGACAGAGGCACGTGAGACACCAGCGTCGGGCTGCCCGAGTTGATGAGCGCGTCGATCTTCTCTGCCTCCTTACTGCAGGCTTCAATCTGCACACACACACACACACACACACTGTTCAGTTCCACTGGGCAGAAATAGGGCATTAAGTCCTTGTAGACAACTTTAATATTTTTAGGCAATTGCGGGAGCATCTGGAGCTCATGATGCAAGAGTGTGAAAGCCTGTGCCGGGAGACACACTCGATCATCACAGGGACACTGCTCCATACTGACACTGATGCTCACTGCTCCATACTAACACTGATGCTCACTGCTCCATACTAACACTGATGCTCACTGCTCCATACTAACACTGATGCTCACTGCTCCATACTAACACTGATGCTCACTGCTCCATACTGACACTGATGCTCACGGCTCCATACTGACACTGATGCTCACTGCTCCATACTAACACTGATGCTCACTGCTCCATACTAACACTGATGCTCACTGCTCCATACTAACACTGATGCTCACTGCTCCATACTAACACTGATGCTCACTGCTCCATACTGACACTGATGCTCACTGCTCCATACTAACACTGATGCTCACTGCTCCATACTAACACTGATGCTCACTGCTCCATACTAACACTGATGCTCACTGCTCCATACTAACACTGATGCTCACTGCTCCATACTAACACTGATGCTCACTGCTCCATACTAACACTGATGCTCACTGCTCCATACTGACACTGATGCTCACGGCTCCATACTGACACTGATGCTCACTGCTCCATACTGACACTGATGCTCACTGCTCCATACTAACACTGATGCTCACTGCTCCATACTAACACTGATGCTCACTGCTCCATACTAACACTGATGCTCACTGCTCCATACTAACACTGATGCTCACTGCTCCATACTGACACTGATGCTCACTGCTCCATACTAACACTGATGCTCACGGCTCCATACTAACACTGATGCTCACTGCTCCATACTAACACTGATGCTCACTGCTCCATACTGACACTGATGCTCACTGCTCCATACTAACACTGATGCTCACTGCTCCATACTAACACTGATGCTCACGGCTCCATACTAACACTGATGCTCACTGCTCCATACTAACACTGATGCTCACTGCTCCATACTAACACTGATGCTCACTGCTCCATACTAACACTGATGCTCACTGCTCCATACTGACACTGATGCTCACTGCTCCATACTAACACTGATGCTCACGGCTCCATACTAACACTGATGCTCACGGCTCCATACTAACACTGATGCTCACTGCTCCATACTAACACTGATGCTCACTGCTCCATACTAACACTGATGCTCACGGCTCCATACTAACACTGATGCTCACGGCTCCATACTAACACTGATGCTCACTGCTCCATACTAACACTGATGCTCACTGCTCCATACTAACACTGATGCTCACTGCTCCATACTAACACTGATGCTCACTGCTCCATACTAACACTGATGCTCACTGCTCCATACTAACACTGATGCTCACTGCTCCATACTGACACTGATGCTCACTGCTCCATACTAACACTGATGCTCACTGCTCCATACTAACACTGATGCTCACTGCTCCATACTAACACTGATGCTCACTGCTCCATACTGACACTGATGCTCACTGCTCCATACTAACACTGATGCTCACTGCTCCATACTAACACTGATGCTCACTGCTCCATACTAACACTGATGCTCACTGCTCCATACTAACACTGATGCTCACTGCTCCATACTAACACTGATGCTCACTGCTCCATACTAACACTGATGTTAAATAGAGAAACCATGAAAATATTCTAAATTATTACTTGCTATGAGTGAGATTGATCCAGACAACAGTCATCTTTAAAAAAATAATTAGTTAATTAATGACGTATTCACTAGGTAGTAGTGAACGAGTGAATTCTGGGAAATTGGGACACTTTGGGAGATAACTGGGGACACATGTCGTAATTATCTTTAATTAACCTCTATAGGGTTTATTTGTTGTTGTTATGTTAGAAAATATCTTATATTGGTTGATTACATATTCAATTGCTTATTTTAAAGTTGTGATTTTTCATACTGGTCATTATAATATTGTGGTGGATGAATTCAAGCAAGTATTTTGTTTTTTTATTATTTTAATAACTTATTTAGTTGTGATCAGTTGTAATTATTTGTGATCCGTTGTGGTCAGTTGTGGTCAGTTGTAGTCGTCACACACACACACACACACACACACACACACACACCTGCAGTGGCGTTGGCTGCTGATCCACAGGCACGATGAGGATGATGATCTCGGAGTCGATGCTGAGATAGCCGAAGACGTCGCACTGAGGAACAGAGATGTGCAGCCGCAGGATCTTCAGGATGTCATGCAGCGTCACCGGCTGATTGCGGTTCAGCTAAAACACACACACAGTGTCAATATCAACACACACAGACTCTTATCTCTTAGCACATTTCCTCAACAGGCCGCATCACTCATTTGTTCACAGCATACCCCAGTAACAGTGGTGATGGCATTATTCAGTACAACACTGCCAGGCATTATTGGCCATTAATGAAAGATAATATCTGTAACAGTAGACAGATTTTGGTTGGTTGGTGTTTTAACGTCAGACAAGATTCCTTGGTTATTTTCATGGCGAGTAACACTAATATAAAAGAGCAATTTATAAACTTAAATAATGTTTTCAACATGCAACTTCTATCCACAGTAGAGTAAATTTATGCAGTTTGTTGTTAGTTCACTGATGTCATTCATCCTATAGATACCGTAAGATAATATGGTTTTCGGAGGGAGGCCAGAACCCAAACGACAACATTCACTAATAAAAGTTAATAAAGCCAAATATAACACACTGCTTACAGAGCATAAACATCCAGAGAGTGGGTGATGAAACCCAAGCTGTTGTGGAGAAATGCATGCATGTGTAGAGCCCTACACCCCCAGTGATGCACTGAAGGACCAACACTGCCCCCTGCTGACGGCTCCTGTCCCTGCAGCCCACATCCCCACATTACCTTGGCGAAGGTGTTCATCTGCTGTTTGTTCCAGAGGATCTGCAGCATCCCTGCACACACCGGACAGCAGGCGCCTGCGAACCGTTCAGAGAGATTAGAGTCTGTAACTCGGCTCTAAATGAAAGATGTTTGGCGTGAGCGTGCGGCGGCGCTGACCCGGTGGAGTGACGGGCCGGCAGCGGCTGCTGGAGAGAGGAGCACACGACACCGCGTTACAGCCCGAGTCCGACGGCACGCCCGACACGACCCCGACCGCGTGACACCGGCCCTGATAGTCCACGGCCACGCGCGCCGAGAACGCTTCACACACCGTACTGAAGCTCTCGCCGCTGTGGCCACACACCTCCATGGGGCTCCGGCACGACTCCTGCAACACACACACACACACACGTTACACACAACACACACCTCCATGGGGCTCCGGCAGGACTCCTCAACTATAATTCTTTCAAATTAAAATTTAATACGACTTGAGAAAGAATAAATTTCACATGAGCATAAACCGGCCACACACACACACACACACACCACAGCACAATAGCGATAGTGCCGCACGCCTCATCATGCAAACCTTCATCAGAGACAACATCGCATCATATTCACAAACACATGTCACATATTTAATACTCAGTTTTTGATCAAAGCTCTGTGGTTTAAAACATATAATGCAAATCAGTGATGATTGAGAGATGAACAAATAACCCTTCCTCAAGCCTGACGATCGGGATTTCTCTAATCAATGATGTCTGGATCAAGTAATCAAATAAAGTTTTTCTCATGTTTCGTTGATAAAGTCACGTCAGATTGACACAGAAAGACTCGTGAAGCTCGAGCTGAAGGACGTTTGTACAGTTATACTGTGTGAGATCAGATGTGATCAGTGTGTGTGTGAGATGTGATCAGTGTGTGTGTGAGATGTGATCTGTGTGTAAGATGTGATCAGTGTGTGTGTGTGAGATGTGATCAGTGTGTGTGTGTGAGATGTGATCAGTGTGTGTGTGTGAGATATGATCAGTGTGTGTGTGAGAGATATGATCAGTGTGTGTGTGAGATGTGATCAGTGTGTGAGATGTGATCAGTGTGTGAGATGTGATCAGTGTGTGTGTGTGAGATGTGATCAGTGTGTGTGTGTTGCGCCGCACCTGGCAGTGTCCGCTGTACGCCAGGGTCTTGCCCCGCAGGTTCAGCTGGCAAAGGTTGGCGTGCTCAAAGTTTTCTGTGTCACACACCGGGTCGAGCTGGTTTTGGTCACAGGCGCTCGGTCGCGACACACACTCGTACTGTGGGCAGGGATAGTCCGACAGGTCCGTCAAACACACCTGACGTCTGGGGATACACCTGTGGATGAACACACACACACACACACAGTTTGTAGAAGTCAGTAGCAGTAAATGAAGAGATGTCTTATCGATCACAAGTTCAGTATGGCGTACCACAAGGCTCAGTACTAGGACCGCTGCTGTTCACTCTGTACATGCTACACACACACACACACACCTGACGTCTGGGGATAACCCTGTGGACGAACACACACAACTATCTAAACCTCCTTTTGATGTTCTTCATCTACTCGTGACATTCAACATTCTCCACTTAACGATGAGAGGTGAGCATGCACTCATAATGAACTGCACATATATAGCATTTATTAATCTTAGTTAATATTAATTTCAACATTTACTAATACATGATTAAAATCAAAGGTTGTGTTTGTTAACATTAGTTAATGCACTATGAACTATCATGAACACAAATGAACAGCTGTGTTTTTATGGACTAACATTAACAAAGATTAATAAACATTGTAACAAATGTATTGCTCATGGTAGTGCATGTTAGTTAATACATTAACTAATGTTAACTAATGAACATTAATGTAAAGTGTTCCTGTTAAAGGTCCCATTAAGGTACAAAAAAAAAAACTTTTGTTTTTTTATGGGTTATACAAACATTCCTTTCTTTAATCATTATTTAAATGTTACTTTCAAATGATTGTTCAGGAGTAACATTTCCAAACGTTCCAACACAAACTCCACATGAACAATGTATAACTAATGTTTTTGTGCTAATGCTTTATTAATGCTATAGAAGAACTTACAGTGTTACATGCGACACTTACAGTGGTAAATCAGACTGAGGGGTCGAGAGGTCACACACACACACACAGATCCTCTGGCCCTCGGTCACATGTGTAACATCAAAGCTTCCACATTTTATCATCTTGTTTACAGAGGAACAAACATTTCCTTTGAAACGCAGGCCAAGCCGATGTTACGCAACACGCATGGCTGTGTGTTACATAAGACAGATGTGGACGATCCTCACACACACTCGTTTAACCTGACGCTGGAGACCACGAGCGTATGAACGTCCTCAGAGACATCTACAGCAAACACACACCCCCCGATGAACACACAGACCCTCGACTAATCCCGTCAGGACAGAGCGGTGAACTCCAGCAGAACAGTCTCAGACAGAATAACTGTGTGTGTGTGTGTGTGTGTGTGTGTGTGCGTAACTCACCTCTGGTTCTTCTGGCAGGGGTTGGGCAGGCAGGGGTCGATGCTTCTGCACGAGCCGAACACAAACTGATTGTCCCTGAAGCCGACACAGCGAGCCACACATGCGCTGGGATACGTGCGTCCGTTCCCGGCACACACCGGCACAAAGTGATCCGCACAACCGCAGGGAAGGCCTGAGGAAGAAGAGCAACACTGATGACAATAATCATAGGATTATGATTAGCTTAGGGTTAAAGTCATATCCATTTCAAGGCAACAAGTCTCTTCTGTGATCCAATAAAAGCAGCTTTAGTGAGCAGAAGAGACTAAAACATTACAAAATCGTCATCACTGCAAAGATTCGACTGGTAGTGTATTTTAAAATTCTATATTTTAAATTCCCTTTCAAGGGAACTCACGCTGCATCGAAACGCTGTGGGAACGCCTCTGCGCCTCTGCGTGAATTTCATTTTTTTCGTTTTAATTTTTGCAAATTCCGTTTTTTCCGTTTTAATTTTTGCAAATTCCTTTTTTTACCGTTTTAAATTTTTGCAAATTCCGTTTTTTCCGTTTTAATTTTTGCAAATTCCGTTTTTTCCGTTTTAATTTTTGCAAATTCCGTTTTATTTTTTGGGAATTCAGTTTTTTTTTTTTTTTTACCCTACAGTTATTTTAGTTGTAAAAAGAGCTTTTAATGTTGCTTTTAATGTTAATGATTAAAATGTACACAAATAAAATAGGCATTTACTCTTAAAGGGTTAGTTCACCCAAAAATGAAAATTAAGTCATTAATTACTCACCCCCATGCTGTACCAACCCCGTAAGACCTTCGTTCATCTTCCGAACACAAATTAAGATATTTTTGATTGAATCTGAGAGCTGGATCAGTCCTATATAGACTGCCTAAGGGACAGGCTCTTGACGGCCCATAAAGTCATTAAAGAAAAGGTTTAAATATTCCATGTGCCTACAGCGGCTCAATTATAAGTTTATCAAGCGACGAGACTACTTTTTGTGCCAAAAAAAACATAAATAACGACTTTATTCGACTATTCTATTACTTCCTTATGGGCGCATGCGCGAGAACTGAGACGAGGACGTTCTCATTCGTCTACTTCTTGTTACCGGCTGCTCACCGCTTAGGAGTTTTACCGCCACCTACCGTACGTTTTTTTTCGCACAAAAAGTAGTCTCGTCGCACAGTGTTCCCACAGCGTTTCGACGCAGCGCCTCGTTCCCTCTTCAGGGAACTTGGGTTACATGCGTAACCGAGATTTTTTTGTCTGTTATTGTGTATAATAGTAACCATGAAGAACTATATTTGGATATAGGCACAGGTGTAATCTGAAAAACACACACACCTGTGAAGATGCGCCGGCCCTCGTCTGGTACGTCGGACCGCAGACAATGACGGGATGAACAGACGGTTTCTCCGGCGAAACAGGAACAGGTCTGGCAGTCGAGCCGGAAGGAGGAACCGTGAGCTGGACCAGAACATCAGAACATCAGAACACTGGGACAGACAACATTCACTCTCTGACATCAGCAGATTCTCCACTGAGACAGACAACATTAATCTCATCTCTTTCTTGCTCTGTCTGCGTTTGCAATAATGCAATCTGAGATCAACTGATCAGAGTACAGCTTGACAAACTCAAAGTAGCCTCTTAAACACTGTTTCTTGCCTTTTTTCATTTCCTTTACTGAAAATTATATATATATATATATATAGTTATTCCCATATTCTCATATTATGACTAAGAATATAACACTACACATTTGTTTTCATACAAATAGTAAAAATCCTTGCGAGATTAGTTCATTTTCTAATAAGCATCGCTTAAGACAACTATAAAGCACATCTGTCTCTAATAAACCGCTTTAGAAGTGGAGTAAAAATACACATGAAAGAAAAGGCAATAAATTCATTCAGGTTCAGACCAACTGGCGTAAAATGAGCTGTTTAAAAAAGAGGAATACTAATAAAAACAAGAAGAAAAGACCATTTAAAATTATATGCATTTATTCTAATTAGAAGGTGTTAAAATGTTTAATATATATATATATATATATATATATATATAATAAAATATAAACTTATGAAAGTGTAATATTTGTGTGTGTGTGTGTGTGTGTGTGTGTGTTTGAGTGTGTTACACAGATAATGTTTTTAATGTTTTAAGCAGATATTTTGTGTTTAAAACATTATGGAAATCATCCATTGAGAATACAGATTTCAGAAATTACAGATGCATGAATTTGTCGTTTTATTCAACATCTCACCAATAGATGGCAGAATCCACCTTTCAATAGTCTCAGTTTTTGTCATGTCTGTCCTGTCATATGTAGCACATGTGGTGTTTTGTGTTCCCGTCTCTGTCTTGACTCCTTCCCTCCTTGTTATCTGATTATTGGTTAATTTGTCCCACCTGTTTTCCCTCGTTACCCTCCTTGTTTGCTCCCCTATTTAGTCTCCCTGTGTTTGTAGTCCTGTGCTGGTTCGTTGTTATCATGTTTCCCGCTGGACCTTAGATTTTTCTTAGTTTGTTTTAGGTTGTTAATGTTAGTATTTATATTTACTTTATTACATTTTTATTCCTGCTTTTCGATTCCTCGATCCTTTTCACTATCCATCCGTGACAGAAACGAACCGTTCATGATGAGGACTCAATGGAAGACTTCGGGTCAACCACCAGTTGTGCCGATTGACTGCCCGTACTATGACCGGATCATGAAGGTCTCTGTATTGGTTTCCTTGCACCAGGACGGGAGGAACGTGAGACTTTGCATGGGAATTTTTCTCCGCCAGTGAGAGTTTAGGGTTGGGAAAGATGTCTCTTAAGGACCTCTTTAATTAAGCCCTGGATAAGCCATTTGATGTGTCAGAGATGGAAGTGCTGAAAGCCTCTGACTTTTGGGCTTTTATTAAGGTTTTAAACCCACAAGGGAAACCTCTAGTGTGGCAACGGCAGCACCTCCGGAGGCAGTTCACCCAACAACGTTTCACATTCATCGGCGCAGGAGGAGGACCCCCGTGGCCTTCGAGGATCCGATCTTAGTGGTTCACGTCCCGTCTGCTCAGCCAGAGACTGCAATTCCTGAGCCCGTGTCAGCTGTTCCTGAGCCGGTGTCTGCTGTCCCTGTCTGCTGTTCCTGAGCCGGTGTCTGCTGTCCCTGTCTGCTGTTCCTGAGCCGGTGTCTGCTGTCCCTGTCAGCTGTTCCTGAGCCGGTGTCTGCTGTCCCTGTCTGCTGTTCCTGAGCCGGTGTCTGCTGTCCCTGTCTGCTGTTCCTGAGCCGGTGTCTGCTGTCCCTGTCTGCTGTTCCTGAGCCGGTGTCTGCTGTCCCTGTCTGCTGTTCCTGAGCCGATGTCTGCTGTCCCTGTCTGCTGTTCCTGAGCCGATGTCTGCTGTTCCTGTCTGCTGTTCCTGAGCCATAGCTTGTTTCTGTTCCACCACCATGGCCACCCGAGGGGTCTTCACCTCCCTGGCCGCCCGAGGGGTCTTCACCTCCATGGCCGCCCGAGGGGTCTTCACCTCCATGGCCGCCCGAGGGGTCTTCACCTCCCTGGCCGCCCGAGGGGTCTTCACCTCCCTGGCCGCCCGAGGGGTCTTCACCTCCCAGGCCGCCCGAGGGGTCTTCACCTCCCTGGCCGCCCGAGGGGTCTTCACCTCCCTGGCCGCCCGAGGGGTCTTCACCTCCCTGGCCGCCCGAGGGGTCTTCACCTCCCTGGCCGCCCGAGGGGTCTTCACCTCCCTGGCCGCCCGAGGGGTCTTCACCTCCCTGGCCGCCCGAGGGTTCTTCACCTCCCTGGCCGCCCGATTGACTGACATCTCCGCCACTGGCCGCCCGATGGGTCGTCTGCTTCACCCTGGTCGCCAGATGGACTGACTTTTCCAACCTGGTCTCCTAAACTGTCCATGTCTCCTGTCCCGCCCTGGTCTTTCCCTCTTGGCCCTCCCTAAGGTCCCTAGAGAAGCGTCTGGTAGCTCCTTAAGGAGGAGGTAATGTCACATGTCTGTCCTGTCATATGTAGCACATATGGTGTTTTGTGTTCCTGTCTCTGTCTTGACTCTTCCCTCCTTGTTATCTGATTATTGATTAATTTGTCCCACCTGTTTTCCCTCGTTACCCTCCTTGTTTGCTCCCCTATTTAGTCTCCCAGTGTTTGTAGTCCTGTGCGCTGGACCTTAGATTATTCTTTGTTTGTTTTTGGTTGTTAGTGTTTGTATTTATATTTACTTTATTAAATCTTCTTCCTGCACTTGAGTCCTGGATCCTTTTTCACTATCCAGCCGTGAGAGTTGTATGCCTCTTGCGTTAAACTTGCAATAATAATTAAATACAAACTAACAAAATCGTAGATGTCGGTTACATAAAATCATCATGTAAAACACGTTATTAAATTACATTACTGGGTTAATATTTAAAGTGCCCCCTATTATGCTTTTTTGAATATTCCCAGTCATGAAGTGTGCAATAAAGCTGTTTGTGAAAGTTAAAGCTCTACAAAGATTCAAAGATCAAAGAGCACATAACTAGAGTTTTTCTCTCCTAAAAGAAGTGATTCTGAATTGAAACGAGCCATCAGTAACTCAGTTTCACTTCCTGATGAAACTGTGTTTTTTGAAAAAAAGTGTTTTTTGACCTCAGATGCATGCATACCTGTTGTAGGAAACTCTTAACATTAGGAGCCTTTTTTAAGCATCTTACTTCTGCGCTGTCCTGCGACGAGGCAGGTCTGGGTGGTGTCGACACATGGCATCTCAGCACAATTCTCCAGGTGTCCGCTCTGACCGCAGGTACACACCTCGTAACAGCCCACCTGTGCACTCCTCGTGGGCACCTGGATACGAGCGTCCATGGGCACCAGGAACTCAGACGCCTCGCCCAGTTTACAGCCTTCAAAACATACAGAACAAACATCTTCAGACATTCCTCGGTGCTGACGTCATAATTCAATCCAATGAGTCATAATACAATGAGTGAGTGAGTGAGTGAGTGAGTGAGTGAGTGACGGTACCAGGAACGCAGAAGTACGGCAGGCAGTCTTGTCCAGGATGGCAGCCCTTCCGGTTGACCTCACACAGGTGATTGCTGGGACACGGGTTCGGGTTGCAGGGATGGATGACTTCTTCAATGATGTTGTCAAAGGGACTGGGAGCTGCAGACAGTAGGAGTGAGATCAGACGAGATGAATGGGATCAGACACACTTAGAGGGATAGAGGGATCTGGACGGGATCAGACACACTAGCTGCATTTACATGGACACTTATAATGGGATTGACAGCTCAATCGGACTAAAAAACCTTCATGTAAACACCTTAATCGATCCAATTGAGTTTGATCCGATTTTCGATTGGATTGAAAGGGGTGGTTTACTCTTTTTGTAATAAGATCGAGAGAGAGATAGAGGGATCTGGACGGGATCCGACACACTGAGAGGGATAGAGGGATCTTGATGGGATCAGACACACTGAGAGGGATCTGGACGGGATCAGACATACTGAGACGGATCGAGGGATCTTGACGGGATCAGACACTGAGAGGGATAGAGGGATCGGAACGGGATCACACTCTAAGATAGAGGTATCTGGACGAGATCAGACACACTGAGAGGGATAGAGGGATCTTGACGGAATTAGACACACTGAAAGGGATAGAGGGATCTTGACGGGATCAGAGACACTAAGAGGGATAGAGGGATCTTGATGGGATTAGACACACTGAGACAGATCTGGATGGGATCCGACACTAAGAGGGATAGAGGGATTTGGACGGGATCAGACACTGAGAGGAATATGGATGGGATCTGGACGGGATCAGACACACTGAGGAGGGATAGTGGGATCTGGACGGGATCAGACACACTGAGAGGGATACTTGGATTTGGACGGGATCAGACACACTGAGAGGGATACTGGGATCTTGATGGGATTAGACACACTGAGACAGATCTGGATGGGATCCGACACTAAGAGGGATAGAGGGATCTGGACGGGATCCGACACTAAGAGGAATAGAGGGATCTGGACGGGATCAGACAAACTGAGAGGGATTTGGACGGGATCAGACACTGAGAGGAATATGGATGGGATCTGGACGGGATCAGACACACTGAGGAGGGATACTGGGATCTGGACGGGATCAGACACACTGAGAGGGATACTGGGATCTGGACGGGATCAGACAAACTAAGATGGATAGAGGGATCTGGACGGATCAGACACTGAGAGGGATACTGGGATCTGGACGGGATCAGACACACTGAGAGGGATACTGGGATTTGGACGGGATCAGACACACTGAGAGAGATACTGGGATCTGGACGGGATCAGACAAACTAAGAGGGATCGAGGGATCTGGACGGATCAGACAAACTGATGGGATGGGATATGGATGGGATCTGGACAGATCAGACACACTGAGAGGGATACTGGGATCTGGACAGGATCAGACAAAATTAAGAGGGATAGAGGGATCTGGACGGATCAGACACACTGATGGGATGGGATATGGATGGGATCTGGACGGGATCAGACACACTGAGAGGAATATGGATGGGATCTGGATGGGATCAGACACACTGAGAGGGATAGTGGGATCTGGATGGGATCAGACAATGAGAGGGATAGTGGTATCTGGACGGGATCAGACACTGAGAGGGATAGTGGGATCTGGACGGGATCAGACACTGAGAGGGATAGTGGGATCTGGATGGGATCAGACACTGAGAGGGATAGTTGGATCTGGATGGGATCAGACACACTGAGAGGGATAGTGGGATCTGGATGGGATCAGACACACTGAGAGGGATAGTGGGATCTGGATGGGATCAGACACACTGAGAGGGATACTGGGATCTGGACGGGATCAGACACACTGAGAGGGATAGTGGGATCCGGACAGGATCAGACACTGAGAGGGATAGTGGGATCTGGACGGGATCAGACACTGAGAGGGATAGTGGGATCTGGACGGGATCAGACACTGAGAGGGATAGTGGGATCTGGACGGGATCAGACACTGAGAGGGATAGTGGGATCTGGACGGGATCAAACACTGAGAGGGATAGTGGGATCTGGATGGGATCAGACACTGAGAGGGATAGTGGGATCTGGACGGGATCAGACACTGAGAGGGATAGTGGGATCTGGACGGGATCAGACACTGAGAGGGATAGTGGGATCTGGATGGGATCAGACACTGAGAGGGATAGTGGGATCTGGATGGGATCAGACACTGAGAGGGATAGTGGGATCTGGACGGGATCAGACACTGAGAGGGATAGTGGGATCTGGATGGGATCAGACACACTGAGAGGGATACTGGGATCTGGATGGGATCAGACACTGAGAGGGATAGTGGGATCTGGACGGGATCAGACACTGAGAGGGATAGTGGGATCTGGATGGGATCAGACACACTGAGAGGGATACTGGGATCTGGACGGGATCAGACACACTGAGAGGGATCGAGGATCTTTGCTCACCCAGGTATCTCTCCAGCGGGATGCAGCGCTCCGGGTCATCGGTGGGCGATAGCAGGTCACAGATGCGCTCAGGCGTCTGTCCTTCAAGGAAGCGTTTCCGGTCGCCACACTGACTCAGGATATCCACACAGTCCGATCTGAGGACACACCAAACACAACACTCTTGTTCTTTATGGAATATTGCAGTGTTTATTGCAAATTATTTATCGGTGCACATCATTATTGTGTTCATAATCTTGAATCGGAACAGTGTATGCGTGTGACGTCACCGTCGGCCGGAGTGACAGCAGTTACACACACTGAGTGGCAGAAACTCTGAGCGGCAGCATTTGTTCTCAGCGTGAATGCTGCAAACACACAAAACACATCTAACACTGGAAAGAGCTTTGAGATTGACTGTATAAATATATTTGAAGAGAAATCCGAGGTATATTTTTTTACAGACGGCTGAAAGCTACAGAACAGAGAAGCAAACGTATCGCTGCGATTCACAGAAACAACTGGAAACAGGCAGAGAACGGTGGATTTACAGCTTTCATTTTGTGTCAATATGCTGAATTATGGGGTAAAATCACACCCTATATATTGTATTGTCATCAGTTACTGTAAATATTTATCATCGTATAATCTGCATAATTGGATGTTTTTAAATAATGTTTTAGGGCTGGACGATATGATGATATGACACTGATATAAGTGATCACATGGATTTAGACCTATACTGTATTTATATCAAGCATTCACAGGCAAATGTGCTTTATGTTTTTCTTCGGCATCAAAATCAGGCTCATATAAATGCCAGGAAACATGATTCCTACTGATCCCAGGATCTTTGGTGAGTTATAAGGATCACTATATCCAGTCCAGTCTTTAGCTTAAACTGATAATCGTTCACTTTACTCGTGTTTTCGCAGTTGCCTCCATTAAACGCAGTTCTGCCACTCAGTCCGGCTGAGGGAGTGTGTTCCCGCGGGAAAGTGGCGTCAATGCTAACCCTCTATGACTTCCCCTCTCTCTTATCGCTTCTCTGACTTCCTCAGTGTTAATGTAACGTTTCTTTTAATGAAATTCTAAACCATTAAGATGACTTTTAAACTGTTCCAGAAACAAAACAGTTGTTGTTTTTGCTTAAAATCAAAAGTCATGTGACGCTTCATACCTCGCAATTGAGCTTTTACTTCATCTATTTGCTTTGTAATATCAATTGTGAAGGGATGGCCCTTCAAAGGCAGGATCATAATTCATCTTCAGCTGCGCGAACCCAATACCTGCAGCTCTGGGATATGTTGGAGTATCATGAAAGAACACAGGCGGCGTCATTCCTGATCACGAACACTTATTACATGAATTATCATGTGTGCTTTTGTTGTAAATCGCTGTTTCTGCTGGTGTCAGAACGGGCCAGAGCTCTTCTCTGTGCATCTGCCAAGCGTGAAACTACCGTGACCTTTGCCCTCAGACAGAGCAGATGAAAGCCAGCTTCCTATTGACAGTACACACACCATACACACGCCTCACGCTCCAGTGTTTCAGGACGCCTTTCAACTGCCACATGTCCATATGTGCCATTCCCGGGAGAGGCTGGATGTCCCGCGGCGCCTTTTCCCTCTCCGGCCGTGGGTTTGTTGCTTCTGCTCGACTCACGGGGACAGAAACATTCGGACTGTTTTGTTTAGCAGCACATAGTAAGACACTTAACTAGCGCACTACTGAGGGAGACTGACGCATCTGAAAACATGATCAACCTTAAACATCAATGATCACAGAAAACTAAATAGTATTCATTTATTGTTTATTAAGTCTACTTTTAATTTACTAAAAAGAACCGGTTCATTGGAGTCATTTGTGCAGGAATCAACTACAGTTTTTGAGCCGTATGGTTTGATTCAGTGACTCATTAGAATCCTTCATTCGGGAGTCAGACCACACCGCTACTGTACAGCTTTGATTCACTAATAAGAACCTGATCATTAGGGATCGATCAGCCTGCGCTGTATAGTGCCGGTAACGTTTACATCCACTTTGGCAGAACTTTCCGTTACCAGAACACTATTTAGATTGGATTTTTGTGTTTTTTAAATGGCTCTGGTTTCCCTCGTAGCCTGAAGCCTGCTGGAACAAGACCTGGAGGTGCCCCATCACGCCTGACTGATGCATTGTGGGTCGCAGCCGGCCATTAATCACAGTCACAGCTCTTCATTGACTCCTAATGCTGCCAGTGTTGGAGAAGATCTGCACGCTGTCACAGGTTTATAGGACCCAAAATACATATACAACCCAACAGGCAGTAATTGACCACTAAAGATTTCTGCTAAAGCAACATGCAGGTTTAAGATGTCAAAACCCATCACAAGACAACCTGCAATTACCTGGATATGTTTCATATTCACTGCATTAAAGACAGAACACACACGAATCAGAAAACTGGCGTCCACAGGCTGTTTGTGGACTAAAGTGTGGATTATGTGACTTTTATACGGCAACTAAATGTTTTTTGGTCTAGCGCATAAAAATCGCCAATAAATTTAGTTATAATTCTTTTTATATTATTATAGTATTTTATATATAATAACTGCAAAGTATTGTATATACTTCATAGTATTATTAGATGTAGTGATCAGTTTTATTGTATTCTTTAATTAGTGCTGTGCAACGATTAATCACATGCAAAATAACAGTTTGTGTTTACATCATATGTGTGTGTGTGTACTATAATTATTTTGTATATATAAATACACACACATACATTTATATATTTAAGAAAAATGTGGATGCATGTACTGTATATATATTTATATATAATTTATATTTGATATATAGTAAATATAAATATTTTATACATAAATAACACAATGTTCGTATATATATATATATATACAAACATACATACATGCATGTGTGTGTATTTATATATACAAAATAATTATACACAGTACACAAACATATATGATGCAAACACAAACTTTTATTTTGCATGTGATTAATTGTTGCACAGCACTAGTTTTAATGCAACAGTAAAAAAAAAAATATATATATATATATTTAAGTAATAAAAATATGATCACTGCCAATTTACATTTATTGGGGGAAAAAAAAACCTGTTAAAAATAAAACTTCCAAAACAATGTTTTCCGTAGAAGAACCATTTTCTGCTCCCCAAAGAACGTTTGTGTGCGTGTGCGTGCGTGCGTGCGTGTGTGTGTGTGGTGTGTGTGTGCCGCACCTGCAGATGACGCTCCCCCTGGATCTGCTGTAGCAGGGCTTGATCTGCAGGGCGCAGGCCACAGCCTTCCACATGTCCGGCCGGCACTTCCTGATGTCCAGCACGGGGATGTTCATGAAGGGCATCTTGATGCTGCCATTGGACCAGAGCTTGAAGTCGTTCATGGCGCCCTGATCCGACTGAACGTTACAGCTGCGAAACAGCTCCGTCGGCCTGAGGACAACAAACCCAATGTGAGCGCTTCCAGCCTTACACACACTCATCACACACACTCATCACACACACATTCACAGAGCAACAGGACACAAACTGGCTCAAAGTCTTGACTTTTATTTTCCCAGAAGCAGCAAATGATGCTGTTGAAGACAGCGTTGGGATCTGGACGTTGTTTTGTGGATCTGCAAGCGTCCGTCACTGAATAAACACAGCGTCGGGGAGAGGGACTTCCTCAGGAAAGCTGGAGCAGAGAGAACCTTTCCCCCAGTTTGTATTCTCTGTGATGATCTCTGGACGGGTGGAGTAATTGTTGGGTAGAGTCCGGGCGGAGGTTTCTGGATCCTGGATGCGGTCAGAAGCGGATTCTGCTTTGAGCTTTCCTTCGGGGTGTGGCGGCGGCGGATTATAACAGGAAATAAAAGAAGACCCTGACAATCATCATGTGTGTGTGTGTGTGTATATTCAGTACTATTTATATATGTGTGTGTGTGTGTGTGTATTCTAGAAATAAAATCAGCTTTGTTGACAGGAATAAATGACACTTTACTATATATATATTTACATAGAAAACTAACTATATTCCAGAGACTAACTTTAATATTTTAATATTTAGTGGTATGCAGTTTTATATATGTGTTTGTGTGTGACTTTTATGAGATACTGAACATGTAATATCTGTTCAGCATTATATATCTGCCACTGGCTTCAAACAAAGGTTCAGAAACTGAATCAGCTCTTGTATTCAGTCGGGTCAGATGCAGCGCCGCTGATAGCCTCGTCTGGGATGGAGTTATGTCTTCTGCCGTCTGTGTGTGTGTGTGTGTGGAGGTAAACACTGCAGGACGTCTCTCAGCCCTGCTGGGGTTTCCTCAGGGTAAGTATACGCACCGCAGGCGCTCTCGGCACTCGTGTCCCTCCGCTTTCTTCCCTGTTTGCCTTCAGTGAGCTTTGAAATCCGCAGGAGAGCCGCCACGCAGTCAACCCAGGAATCCTTCCCAGAAATCAAAGCCAGCGGTTGTTTTCCTGAACTCCAGATCCCGTCGGAGGAGCAGGGGTGCCCTCATCTCCGGCACTGCCATCCGTCAGCCAGAGAAAACAATACCCAGAATTCTTCACATTGCACTGGATTCCTTCCTCGCCCTGGGGTTCACAGTCACTGTCAGCGATCCATCCATGTGTGATACAGCAATATGTGTTATTGAAAATAAAGTCAAAATGAATAATGGCGATAGATCAAAAGTGACTCCCACCGGTTTTATTGCCTGCCAGTCAGAGATGGGGCTTCAGAATATTGTGTATGGGTGTTAGCGCTTGTTTTGATCATGTCTCGAATGCATTACCAGAGCTTGATCTGTGACGAAGGTTCAGTGTGAGTGTCTTGGGTCAGTCAGACTCAGTTTGCTCTGTATTGAACGATCCAGTTTTTCATCTCGACCAGCTCCTGCCATCATCATCTTCATCAGTCGTCCGCTGTGATGCTCTCAAGCCATTTCATCATCAACTGGGCTTGTTGCGACACTTTCACAAGCTGTTTGTGTAAGCCGCACGCATTGTTTAAAGGCCTGAAACCCGAACTCTTGAGAGGGCTCATGGGATTGACAAGAGCGTTGGTGGGAAACCAGCAGTCCTGTCATAGTGATCCATGCCTTTCTGACCCGAAAACAAAGCTGGACTCGGGCTGCCATCATCCATCATGCTGTCCACATCCGTGACCCGCAGAGAACGGCCGGCCAGCGAGACGCCCGACAACACGACCGCCGGATGTTCATTTCCCATGTAACGTAGACCTTGTGTTCAGTTGCAGAACAGCATCCGATCTCACGAACCGACTGAACCCGTCTCATAACCAGAAGGTATAGCTGGATATACTGTATGTCATTCATTATATGCCTGTTTTATACAACAATCCCGTAAACAAGAAGTTATTATTGAGGAACATTAGACACACAATGTTATTTACTTTTTTTTGCTTTGCAATGAAAACAGCCAACAACACAAAAACAGTTATTGTTAACTAAAATATTGTTGTCTAAAAATGACTGAAAAAAAAAAAAAAATTAAATGAAAAACAAACTTAAAAAAATAGAAATGCTGCCTTGGCAACTAACAAAAATAATCAGTTAAAGTTCTAAAATGAATAAACTTTAATTAAAATGAAAAATATAAAAATAAAAGCTTATTTAGAATATAAATAAACACTACAAACTAACTCTTAAAGACTGTCACTTGATTTGTTGTTGAAAATATCAGTGATTTTTGATTGTGATAGTATAGCGTGGACAGAGAGGGGAATCGGGAAAGGTCCACGAGGCTTTCGGCGCCGACTCTATCAGTGATTATGAACGAATCCGTTAAATGAATGATTCACTCAAAAAGTCGCCCCCTACTGGTGTGACAGTGTAACCTGCAGAAAGACCCATGGGAAAATCCCCAGAACGAACGCACAGACTCGGACGAGCGGACTGATAGAAAGCCCAGCGCACCAGCAGCAGTGTGTGTCGGACCTGAACAGCGGGAGTGTGTGTGTGTCGGACCTGTTGTTGAAGTTGGTGCAGTAGCTGAGGTCTTTGCAGCCGAGCTGGCAGGGCTCGCGCACGTCGGCCAGGCACGTGATGAGGTCCATCTCCACCGGGTTATATTCGCAGTGCTGGTCGAACTCCTGCCATGTCTGAGTGCCCCAGTTGGTGCTGATCTCCAGGCACATGTTCCTAACAAACAGGAGAGATATGGAGCACGTTCACTTTCATAATATTTCTATAGCGCTTTTCACAGTACACTCGTCTCAAAGCAGAGTCCACATGATCCATGTCCAGCGAGAGAGATATGGGCTCGGCTGACCTGCAGTGGGACGTGTTGGCTTTGGAGCAGCAGTGCAGCTTGGCGCAGTCCATCTTGGCGATGGGGGGGGACTCGGGGTGGGTCTCGGTGGGCGGGTGGGCGCTGCCCAGGAAGCACTGCCACAGCGGGTCCTGCGGGAGAGGCTGGCTGCCGCACTCCGAGATCAGCCCGTCCATGATCTCCTGCTCCGTGCTCATGGTGCGCAGGATCCGCTTACAGGCGGTCTGACAGTGAGCCTCCACCGCCCGGTCACAGCAGTACAGACCTGCACACACACACACACACACACACACACATTTACTTAACCAGTTCAAACTGTCGTTTACAATCAAGTCCTGCCACTGTTAGTTTGTAGAAGTTTATCATCATCAGACAGAGAAAAAAAAATCACAATTTAAAGGAATATTGTGATAAGTTTAAAATATTGTGTATTAATATTGTAAACGTTTATTTTATTTTATTGTAATGTTCATGATTACTTAACAATGAGCTCTTTTCAGAGGTCTTCTTCAGTCTTTGTGTGATGATGCTGTTAGATCATGAGAAGCTCCAGATCTCCTCTGTATGAGTGTCAGTGTTTCTAAACTCCTGAAACGCCTCCACTGTATCTCGAGTTTCATCCGGGAACACGTCACAATATCCCTCATTATAATAATTCATGCGCAGAATAAAGGGGCGGGGCCTGGTTGAGTTAGTTAGTAGTGTGTCAAACTGGCGGTTTTGGAAAGGGGCGGGGCATTTCCCCAAAACACTCGAATCGCTCAACCAATAAACAACAAACTGATCCAGCCGACCAATCAGAGCACAGTGTGCTTTAGGGAGGAGGGGCTTCATAGAGACAGGAAGTAAACAGAGTGTTACTGACAGACTGGGAAGAGAGGAGCCGCAACAATGGAGAATATGAGGAGAATAATCAACATTCAAGCAGGAAAACCTGTTCTAGGAGAGCCTGAAAACACATCAAGAGTTTGGAAAAGGGGTTTAATCAGCGCAGTCTCACCCCAAAAAGTCATGTAACTGACGTTTTGGGACGTCTTTTGACCATACGTCAATATTCGCCCTTTTTAGGGCCCCCTTAAACGTCGGTAGATGAGGTTATGGGATCCTAACTCTACCCCAGACCTAAACCTAACCCTAACCGACGTTAAAGGTAAAGCGTCAGTTGTATGACGGGCCAGGATCACCATCTAGCGACGTTTAAGGGGGCCCGAAAAAGGCGAATATTGACGTATGGTCAAAAGACGTCCCAAAACGTCAGTTATATGACTTTTGGGGATGAGAATGTGTTGGTTTAATAAATCCTCACTATATTAACACAATGGATTGATTCTATTTACTTTTGTTCATTTTAATTCACAATATCTAATACTGTGTCTCAGATGATCACATGTTTTGTTTCCCCCCTTTAGACAAAGGATAGTTGCACATTTATAAATTGGGTTAAAATATGAATTATTCATGAGGTTAATCATCAGCTTGACTGCAAAATAATAAAATCAAAAACCTTTGATGGATTACATGGTACAGGCAGTCTCAAACAGACAACCCCAATTTATCAAACTTCAATTTGCATACTGCATACTTGCAAAGTTTGTTGGGGAAATGCTCAAATACAGTAAAACAGTGAAATATTACTCCAGTGTAAATCATCTGTTGTCTATGTGAATATACAGTAAAGTGTAATTTATTCCTGCGATCAAAGCTGAATTTATCATCATTACTCCAGTCTTCCGTGTCACATGATCCTCCAGAAATCACTCTAATATAAGGATCTGATGATCAACAAACATTTATGATTATTATCAGTGTTGAACACAGCTGCTTCAGAATTAATAGAAAGGTTTTTTTAAATGCATTTATTTATTTATTATGTTTTTAATGTGAAAATGATGAATTTCTTGTGTCGTAATTTACACTGTTGACCCCCAGATAAGGCAGTGTTGTCAGTGGCACACACTATGATGTCATAGACGGGCTTCTTGACACCACTGACCTCATCGCATTCTTGTTTGTGTTGAAACGTTAGCATGTAGCAAAATGTATCGGCGTAATAAAAGTGTCACGTCTTGCATGTTCTCTGAGAAACTGAAGCCTGTGACGTCGGCATGTCAGAGAAGCTCCACGGCTCTGGGGTTCACGAAGGCTAACACTCCTCAGATCCCCACGCGTCCATGCTTCTCGACAGTGGGTGTGTGTGTGTGACTGGGAACGCAGTTTAAGTACTCACTGTCAATCGGGCTTCTGATGGGGTATGATTTGGTGTAGTTGGCCACACAGCCGATGAGCTGAGGGCTGATGCTCTGGCAGTACTCCTTCACGGCGTTGATCTGGGAGACGGTGGGCGACGAGTCCGTGCGGAAGATGGCCTGGCAGTATTCCCGACAGTTCGTGTGTCTCCCAGCGTAACTGCAGCACACTGAGCCCACTGGAGGACACACACACACACACACACATGAGGAGACATCTCTATGGCCCGGTTTTAAGGATCTAAGCTCATGGTCTAAAGCTCTTAATGCATCCGAATCCACTTTTGCTAGTTTAACGACGACACAAATAGTCTGAAAGGGTCGTCCCTATTCTCTTAATGAGTAACGAGAGTGTTTTGTCTCTATTCTCTTAACGAGTAATGGGTGTGTTTTGTGCGTAACGTGCAATAAACCAATCAGACTTTAGAGCAGGTTCATTTGGTCAACGGCTCAGTGTATTCCAGCTCCTCAGAATAGCAGCGCTCCACCAAAGCTCCTGAACACACACTCGTCCTCAGACCCACAGCCCACGGCCACAGGGGGGCGCTAATGCAGTCGCTAATTAAAGGGGTCATGAACTGGCTTTTTAAAAAAATGTATATTGTTGTCTGAGGTCAACTTATGACGTTCGCTTGGTTTTTACATTAAAAAACATCAAAATGAATAAGTAATAGGCTATTTTCTGTCCTAGTTTTGAGCCCAGCTCACAAACTCTCAGTTTTTATGGGCGTGTCGCACTGAAGTAAACGCCCACTGCTGTGAGTGGAGAACAGTTTTGCATATTATAATGAGTTTCACTCTCGATCCGGTGTGTCATCATGAGGTAGGCATCTATGTTATTTAGCTATGCGTGTAATGCGCGAATCGGTGGGCGGGGCTAAACCGGCCGCGTTGATCTTCTTCTGCGGGGGTGGGGTTTCATCCTCTTTGACGTCATAGTTCCCCACTTTGAAAAACGAGGCGTTTGCCGAGGCTGGTGTCAATAAAAGCTTTTATTGGACTAACAAGGACATTTTCAGTTCTGAAACTTACAGGATATTCTTATAATATGATGACCTCTTAGATGTCAAAAGCTCAAGGAAATTTTAATTTCTCAGTTCATCACCCCTTTAAACAACACGGGATGTGAACATGACAGCCGTGTCGGGCTGAAACAAGCTAAACACACCAGCGTCGCGTCTGGCGCTGCATTGCGTCGAGTGTGTGATAGCGGCCGACGTCTCACTGCTTGTTGTCAGATATATCCAAGCAGTATGAACACAAATAAGCCCTTCATTTAGATGTGACGTCCATGACAGGCTGGAGGACAGCAGGGTAAAGGTCGTGACCTCCCAGGCACATAGACCACTCGATCTCATTTCCTCTTAATACTGGAGGACTGACATGAGAGAAGAGATAAACGAGATCCAGATGAGACTGAACCCTTCTCATGCAGTTCTGCTTACTTTCATTTTTGGTGATGCAGCTGAAGAGCGGCTTCTGCAAGAGAACAACACCTCCTTTAGAATAACACAAGTATATCTGCCTTTATAAAACAGATCAATTATGAAGACACAAACATTAAAAAACTTTTTTTTTAATTTAAGAACTTGACCTTCTGGTCTATTAGTCAACATTTCATTTTATTTCTCAGTTTATAATTTTTTTTTAACTTTTCACACAAAGCTGTTGTTAGCGCAGTGGGGTAAAATTGACTACTTTTAAAGGCATCTTTATTTTCCACTGCACTGTCCCTTTAAGACTGCTTCTCCAACTAAAACATTCACCAAATGACCAAACATTATTTCTGAATTTATGTCCACTACTATTCAAGAGCTTGAATAATGACCTCTTTAACTTAACTTAGGCTTGCAGTGTATTATGGGAAGGGACGTATTGGTTTATCACAGTTTCAATCTGTATTTATGAAAACTTGATTCCACCTGGATTTACAAAAATAAAACTTAATTCCTGGTAATTGTGACTTGTGGACTGTGTGAAACTCTCAGCTGTGAGATGTTTCTCTCACACACATGTACTGCTCACACAGACTGTGACTCTACAAACACACCAGCATCTGCGACTCCGTAACCTCTCACCTCTGAGTCTTTCTTGCACACTTTTGTGATGTCATTCCTCGACGAAGCCTGAGTAGAAGAGCAACACATTACAATCTCACACACCCCAGATGTGTCATTTACAGAGCGCTTTTACAATACAGATTGTTTTCATTTTGTGCGTGTGTGTGTGTGTGTGTGTGTTGTCTGTGTGAGAGACCTGTTTGCAGTCCCGTCGGCAGTCGGTGTTGATGGCCAGTTCACAGCAGCCCAGACCCACCCAGCCATCAGATTTCCTGGAAGCACCTGAGAACCATTAAAGAAACCAGTGACCTTTACAACAGACTGAAATACAATAAATAAATGCATATGTTACTTTAATGACCGTCAAAACAACACAGCATTAATCTGAGCAAATATTTCATCCTGACATGCTTTAATGTTCTCAGCTCGCTCGCTTCTTCAAAGAGTGTCAGGGCGAGCGAGGTGGAGTGTGATGGATGTGGAGGACCATACTCCTCCATCTGGGAGCCATTACGTCTTCAAACTCTAAATCCTCTCTTGTTCTTTTAAGACTGGCACAGGTTGAGGAGACAGGTGTGTGTGTGTGTGTGAGAGTCACGTACCCGGTAATGTGCTGTTGATGCAAATCCAGAGTTCGTTCTGCAAAACAACCAGGAGATGTTGAACATAACAGCAACTGAAAACACCTGTCACACACACACACACGTCAAACAGGCACAAAAATCTTTGTGGGAACACACACACACACACACACACACACAGAGAGAGAACACTGAACACGCATAAGAAAACCAGTGAGTCCACCGTGGAGGAAGCCCCAGAGACGCCGTGAAGAAACCCCAGAGACGCCGGGGAGGAAACCCCAGAGACGCCGTGAGGAAACCCCAGAGACGCCGTGAGGAAACCCCAGAGACGCCGTGAGGAAACCCCAGAGACGCCGTGGAGGAAACCCCAGGGACGCCGTGAGGAAACCCCAGAGACGCCGTGAGGAAACCCCAGAGACGCCGTGAGGAAACCCCAGAGACGCCGTGAGGAAACCCCAGGGACGCCGTGAGGAAATCCCAGGGACGCCGTAAGGAAACCCCAGAGACGCCGTGGAGGAAACCCCAGGGACGCCGTGAGGAAACCCCAGGGACGCCGTGAGGAAATCCCAGGGACGCCGTAAGGAAACCCAGGGACGCCGTGAGGAAACCCCAGAGACGCCGTGGAGGAAACCCCAGGGACGCCGTGAGGAAACCCCAGGGACGCCGTGAGGAAATCCCAGGGACGCCGTAAGGAAACCCCAGAGACGCCGTGGAGGAAACCCCAGGGACGCCGTGAGGAAACCCAGGGACGCCGTGAGGAAATCCAGGGACGCCGTAAGGAAACCCCAGGGACGCCGTAAGGAAACCCCAGAGACGCCGTGGAGGAAACCCCAGGGACGCCGTGAGGAAACCCAGGGACGCCGTGAGGAAACCCAGAGACGCCGTGGAGGAAACCCCAGGGACGCCATAAGGAAACCCCAGGGACGCAGTGAGGAAACCCCAGGGACGCCGTGAGGAAACCCCAGGGACGCCGTGAGGAAATCCCAGGGACGCCGTAAGGAAACCCCAGAGACGCCGTGGAGGAAACCCCAGGGACGCCGTGAGGAACCCCAGGGACGCCGTGAGGAAATCCCAGGGACGCCGTAAGGAAACCCCAGGGACGCCGTGAGGAAACCCAGAGACGCCGTGGAGGAAACCCCAGGGACGCCGTGAGGAAACCCCAGGGACGCCGTGAGGAAATCCCAGGGACGCCGTAAGGAAACCCCAGAGACGCCGTGGAGGAAACCCAGGGACGCCGTGAGGAAACCCCAGGGACGCCGTGAGGAAATCCCAGGGACGCCGTAAGGAAACCCCAGGGACGCCGTAAGGAAACCCCAGAGACGCCGTGGAGGAAACCCCAGGGACGCCGTGAGGAAACCCCAGGGACGCCGTGAGGAAACCCCAGAGACGCCGTGGAGGAAACCCCAGGGACGCCATAAGGAAACCCCAGGGACGCAGTGAGGAAACCCCAGGGACGCCGTGAGGAAACCCCAGGGACGCCGTGAGGAAATCCCAGGGACGCCGTAAGGAAACCCCAGAGACGCCGTGGAGGAAACCCCAGGGACGCCGTGAGGAAACCCCAGGGACGCCGTGAGGAAATCCCAGGGACGCCGTAAGGAAACCCCAGGGACGCCGTAAGGAAACCCCAGAGACGCCGTGGAGGAAACCCCAGGGACGCCGTGAGGAAACCCCAGGGACGCCGTGAGGAAACCCCAGAGACGCCGTGGAGGAAACCCAGGGACGCCATAAGGAAACCCCAGGGACGCCGTGAGGAAATCCCAGGGACGCCGTGAGGAAACCCCAGGGACGCCGTGAGGAAACCCAGAGACGCCGTGGAGGAAACCCCAGGGACGCCATAAGGAAACCCCAGGGACGCAGTGAGGAAACCCCAGGGACGCCGTGAGGAAGCCCCAGGACGCCGTGGAGGAAACCCCAGAGACGCCGTGGAGGAAACCCCAGAGACGCCGTGGAGGAAACCCCAGAGACGCCGTGGAGGAAACCCCAGAGACGCCGGGAGGAAACCCCAGAGACGCCGTGAGGAAGCCCCAGGGACGCCGTAAGGAAACCCCAGGGACACCGGGAGGAAACCCCAGAGACGCCGGGGAGGAAACCCCAGAGACGCCGTGAGGAAGCCCCAGGGACGCCGTAAGGAAACCCCAGGGACACCGGGAGGAAACCCCAGAGACGCCGTGAGGAAGCCCCAGGGACGCCGTAAGGAAACCCCAGGGACACCGGGGAGGAAACCCCAGGGACGCCGTGAGGAAGCCCCAGGGACGCCGTGAGGAAGCCCAGAGACGCCGTGAGGAAACCCCAGAGACGCCGTGAGGAAACCCCAGAGACGCCGTGAGGAAGCCCCAGAGACGCCGTGAGGAAGCCCAGAGACGCCGTGAGGAAACCCCAGAGACGCCGTGGAGGAAACCCCAGAGACGCCGTGGAGGAAACCCCAGAGACGCCGTGGAGGAAACCCCAGAGACGCCGTGGAGGAAACCCCAGAGACGCCGGGAGGAAACCCCAGAGACGCCGTGAGGAAGCCCCAGAGACGCCGTGAGGAAGCCCCAGGACGCCGTAAGGAAACCCCAGGGACACCGGGAGGAAACCCTAGAGACGCCATGAGGAATCCCTAGAGACGCCGTGGAGGAAACCCCAGAGACGCCGTGGGGAAGCCCCAGAGACGCCGTGAGGAAGCCCCAGGGACGCCGTAAGGAAACCCCAGGGACACCGGGGAGGAAACCCCAGGGACGCCGTAAGGAAACCCCAGGGACCGGGAGGAAACCCTAGAGACGCCGTGGAGGAAACCCCAGAGACGCCGTGAGGAGACCCCAGGACGCCGGGGAGGAACCCCAGGGACGCCGTAAGGAAACCCCAGAGACGCCGTGAGGAAACCCCAGAGACGCCGTGAGGAAACCCCAGGGACACCGTGGAGGAAACCCCAGAGACGCCGTGAGGAAACCCCAGAGACGCCGCGAGGAAGCCCCAGGGACGCCGTGAGGAAACCCCAGAGACGCCGTGGAGGAAACCCCAGGGACGCCGTAAGGAAACCCCAGGGACGCCGTGGAGGAAACCCCAGAGACGCCGTGAGGAAACCCCAGAGACGCCGCGAGGAAGCCCCAGGGACGCCGTGAGGAAACCCCAGAGACGCCGTGGAGGACACCCCCGAGAAGCCGTGAGGAAACCCCAGAGACGCCGTGAGGAAACCCCAGAGACGCCGTGAGGAAACCCCAGAGACGCCGTGAGGAAACCCCAGGGACACCGTGGAGGAAACCCCAGAGACGCCGTGAGGAAACCCCAGAGACGCCGCGAGGAAGCCCCAGGGACGCCGTGAGGAAACCCCAGAGACGCCGTGGAGGAAACCCCAGAGACGCCGTGAGGAAACCCCAGAGACGCCGTGAGGAAACCCCAGAGACGCCGTGAGGAAACCCCAGAGACGCCGTGAGGAAACCCCAGAGACGCTGTGAGGAAGCCCCAGAGACGCCGGGACTCCAGCTTTGTAACTAAAGGGAAGAGGGTGGAGGACGTTCCTCTGAGGGAAACACACCACAGTTCGACAGGAAGTGACAGCGCTCGGCGTGCAGGACTTCCTGTGACGCCACGGTGATGGCTTTGATGTAAACAGAGTTGTGAAGAGTTGAGGAAAGCCTTACCAGAGACTCAGGGCAGTAGCTGGGCAGACGCAGGAGCAGATGCTTCAGACGTGACTCGCTCCGGATGCTGGCGAGCTGTGGAGAGAAAGCACAGCAAACACTCAAACATTTCAGTGTGTGAACTGCATCATCATGAGACCCCCTGAAAACTGCACTTGGTGTGTGTGTGTCTGTGTGTGTGTGTGACGGTCAGAAGCGAGTCGGTCTGATCTGTTCCAGTTTACAGAACGGCCGGCTCATGCTCGGCCAGTGTTTGCCTCTGTGTTGAAGGATAATTAGTGATGAACAGAGAGAGAAAGGGACTTTGGATTTGCTGATAGATAGTTTCAAATAATTTCTCTTTGCAAAAAAAAGAAAAAAAGTGAGGAAATTGAGAGCACTGGCTGTACAAAAAAATCACTTTTATATTTTTAAAATGACAAAAGACTCCATCAATTGTAATTATTTGTCACTATCTGACACTTGTCAGCCAATCAGAGGACAGGGAGGCGGAGCTCTGCCAGCTTCAACCAATGACATGTATTTGGTAAAACATATGTAAACAATCATTATTTTTGCATATAATGACATTAATGCATATATCTATGCTTTTCTACACTAAAGTCATGAAGGTTCAGAGAGTTTTTAAGACTTCAATGTAAAGTTTGCATTGAATACTTGAGCTGTGTTTTCCAGAAGCAAGAACAGCTGCCTGCATCAAAGGAAAGTGGTGACTCCGCCCACACAAGCAGATACTCCACCCATAAGATCCGAGATCCCACCCACATGAGCAGTGACCCCGCCCACCAGAGCAGAGACCCCACCCACAAGAGATGTGCCCCCGCCCATATGAGCCGATACTCCGCCCACAAGAGCTGAGACCCCACCCACATGAGCAATGACCTCCACCGACAAGAGATGTGACCCCGCCCATATGAGCAGTGACCCCCGCCCACCAGAGCAGAGACCCCACCCACAAGAGATGTGACCCCGCCCACATGAGGCGATACTATGCCCACAAGAGCCGAGACCTCGACCACACGAGCAATGACCCCCCCCCCCCCCCCCCTTCCCACAAGAGATGACTCCGCCCACACGAGCTGCGACTCCGCCGACCGCACAAAGAGCGGCCCCTCAGATTAATCCAGCTGGAGAAGTTTCTCTCTTTTGCTCTCCTCTTCATGTTTTGTTTCGAGGGTAAATCAATGGCGGGTGCCAGCAGGACTTCTAAAGGACTCTTCTCCTCTCCTCAAAGTCTCTTCAAAGCATCGGCTGTCCATTAGGATGAAACGTTCTGGCGATTACCATCCGCACGTTCCCTCCTCGCTCGCTCTCTAACAAGGTGTCATTATTCTCTCCTCCTAATCTCCTCTTTTACACACACCCGTCTCCCGTCTGATGGGCTTTTAGCTTTCCTTTAATGCATGTTTGGATCCTGGTCGCTGGCAGGACAGTGTTGCTCTGGGTCAGAGAGGGTTAACAGCGCTCCAACTACTGACCGACCCCCTTTAACTTCATCAAAAGCTCCATTCAGAAGTGTGTTTCATGTCCTCGATTCTGTGGAAGTCGGTTTGGGACGAAGAGCGCGAAATAACTAAAAAAGACAGCTTTTATTTGCTCTTTTTCATCAATCTTTCCACCTTGAAAGGAAGAACATCTATCCCGAACAGCTCCACAATAACGCTTGTGTTTGCTATTATTCATGCTGGTTTTGAACAAAATTATCTTTCTCAGCTTTCTCCATGATGTGCCTAATATGATCATTTAAATATGGCAGTCACTCAGTATAATATTACCATCTGAATTTATCAAAACAGGCTTTTGTGAAGAAAAAAATTGAAAAATATTAAATAATAGAACTGGTGCTCTTCGTGTGGTCATCATAAATTACTTTTTTTCATTTAAATGAAGGGAATGCACAATATTTTTTTTTTTTTTTATTTAATATTTTGTATTTTTAGGGTATTTTATGGTACTGTATTCAATTTATGCTGTATGCTGTATTTATTCACTTTTTGAGCACTGACCTGAAAATAAATGACCAGTTTAAACTGTGGTGAATCTTGAACGCTTTAAAGCATAGACTGAAGTTTGGTCTCTTTTCAAAGACGACACTTGGCAGAATATTGCTGAAGGGAATAAAAGTAAACTTAAAAAAGTAACAGAATTTTACATTTACTGTTATGAAAAATGCACAAAAACTCTAATGTGAGGAGCACAAGTGTGACTGTTATTTGCAGGATCATCTAACCTGTTTGTATCATGTCCATGATTATTTGTGTGTTCACAAGGCAAGTGCCAAAACCTTTACCAAGTTTCGTACTATTCCAAATAAATAAATGATTAAACATAATTTTTTTTTTGAAGAGCACCATAGAGTTAAATGCCAAAGTGTCATTCCGGGAATACTGATGAACAGAAGAGAAGTGGTAAAAATGTTAGATCTTTTCCACAAAGTAAAGCTGACAGTTAATTCATCTTGCACATTTATTAATTAAAAAATAATGCAATAAAATTGAACACATTGATGGAATTTTACAATTCATGCCCCCCTGACCCGTACATAAATTCCAAATATATGTAATATTACTGACTGAATTTTTGTCATGTCTCTTCAATAATTCACCTAATATCCTTTAGTCAGCAAATAGAGATTATATGCGATTAATTGGATATTTTTTGTGACTTTTATAGACATTTCTCTCAAACAGGATTCAGATAATAACCAGGGATTTTATATGAGAACATTGACAGTCACATTCCCTTTTGTTTCAACTCAGATTTGTCCTTGAAAGGTCTACGACAAAGAACCATTTTCCTTCATTATTAGTGGACGCCTTTCTATAGATGGTCAAAGCTGCATTAATGCCATTGATGTCTTCATGTGTTTTTGCATCAGTTGTGTTGGTGTGAGTGTGTCGTACCTGTTCACACGCTCCCTTACACTGAGGAAAGAGTTCTGCAGCATGATGGCAGCAGGAGGGATCTGGAGAGAGAGAGAGAGAGAGAGGGTAAGTTCAATCCATTCCATCCAATGTACTCCCAACATATTTCACTTTAAGCCCCGCTGACGGAGAATACCTTTTGTCGGCACTTTGTATTCACCCATACATAGTCAGTCTAATGTGTAAGTATCTTGAAATGGGCAGTTGACAGTTAATCATGGGATTTCACTTCTCCTCACACTATATATGGACATTTACTGAAGCTCTGGTTACATTTAAATCAACATCACTACACTTGAAGAAAAGTCCATAAAAATAGCTATTACTATGAATACATTTTCTGAATCGATTTCACAGGTGTTTTATCCGTGTTTTGAATCACACATTACACTGCATCGTGTTTTATGGTGAAATTAAATATCTGTAAACATAACAGATAATGTCCGGGCAAAAAATGTCCATCACCTTTTCCGTTTTTGTTTTTCTACAGATATTTTTTTTCTTCAGTGAATGAATGTCCTGAAAACCCCAAATAAAGATTTTCTTCGCAAAATATTCTTCGTCCTGGTGCTACAAAACTACGGCACATCAGATTGAACCAAGAGACAAAGTTTGAACTTCTTACTCTACAATATAGAATGAGACCTGAAGTCAGAACTTGACAACTATGACATTTCAATATTAGGCACTAACAGTAACGTATCGGTAGCGCTAACAGTAACAATAGCGGTCGGAGTAACACTAACGGTAGCGGTAACACTAACAGTAGCGGTAGCAGTAACGTTAACAATAGCAGTAACAGTAATGGTTGGAGTAACACTAACAGCAGCGGTAACACCATCAGTAGTGGTAGCAGTAACACTAACAGTAGCGATAACAGTAACGCCATCAGTAGCAGTAACAGTAACATTAACACTAACAGTAACGGTAGTGTTAACACTAACAGTAGCAGTAACACTAACAGTAATGGTAGAGGTAACACTAACAGTAGCAGTAACAGTAACGGTAGCAGTTGCAATAACACTAACGGTAGTGGTAACACTAACCTTAACGGTAGCAGAAACACTAACAGTAACAGTACCGGTTGCAGTAACCCTAACGGTAAGGGTAACACTAACAGTAGCGGTAGCAGTAAGCTAACAGTAGCAGTAATGCTAACAGTAACAGTAGCAGTAACGCTAACAGTAACGGTAGTGGTAACACTAACAGTGGCAGTGGCAGTAACAGTAACGCTAGCAGTAACACTAACAGTAACGGTAGCAGTAGAAGTAAAACTAACAGTAACGGTAGCAGTAACAGTAGCGGTAGCAGTAACACTAACAGTAGCGGTAGCAGTAGCAGTAACAATAGCGCTAACACTAACAGTAACGGTAGCGGTAACAGTAACACTAACAGTAGCAGTGGCAGTAACACTAACAGTAGCGGTAACACTAAAAGTAATGGTAGCAGTAACACTAACAGTAGCAGTAACAGTGGCAGTAACACTAACAGTAGCGGTAACAGTGGCAGTAACACTAACAGTAGCGGTAGCAGTAACAGTGGCAGTAACACTAACAGTAGCGGTAGCAGTAACACTAACAGTAGCGGTAGCAGTAACACTAACAGTAGCGGTAACACTAAAAGTAACGGTAGCAGTAACACTAACAGTATTGGTAGCGGTAGCAGTAACACTAACAGTGGCAGTAAGAGTAACACTAACAGTAACGGTAGCAGAAACAATAACAGTAACAGTAACACTAACAGTAGCAGAAACAGTAACAGTAGTGGTAGCAGAAACAATAACAGTAACAGTAACACTAACAGTAGCAGAAACAGTAACAGTAGTGGTAGCAGAAACAGTAACAGTAGTGGTAGCAGTAACACTAACAGTAACAGTAACACTAACAGTAGCAGAAACAGTAACAGTAGTGGTAGCAGTAACAGTAACGCTAACAGTAATGGTAGCAGTAACACTAACAGTAGCAGAAACAGTAACAATAGCGGTAGCAGTAACAGTAGCGGTAACAGTAACACTAACACTAACAGTAACAGTAACACTAACAGTAGCAGTAACACTAACAGTAATGGTAGCGGTAGCAGTAACACTAACAGTAGCGGTAGCAGTAACGGTAGCAGTAACAGTAACGCTAACAGTAATGGTAGCAGTAACACTAACAGTATGTAGCAGTAACGCTAACAGTAGCAGTAGAAGTAAAACTAACAGTAGTGGTAGCAGTAACGGTAACAGTAGCGGTAGCAGCAGTAACACTAACAGTAGCAGTAATGCTAACAGTATCAGTAACAGTAACGCTAACAGTAACGGTAGCTCTAACACTAACAGTAGCAGTAGCGCTAACAGTAACGGTAGCTGTAAAACTAACAGTAACGGTAGTGGTAGCAGTAACACTAACAGTAATACTGACAGTAGCAGTAACACTAACAGTGACACTCACACCAACAGTAACTCTAACAGTAACACTCACACTAACTAACCCTAACACTAACACTCACTCACACTTAAGTACCAGACAAAGGAATTTGACAGATATCAAACAGGTAAATGCATGTGAGAATGTGATCTGACTGAGAGAAGACGTGAAGCTAAGCTGGAGAAGCGCTATTGTGTGTGAGCGACTGTTTGCTTATAATAATCACAAGAGAGAGTTGTGGCTTTGAAAACTTAAGAAAAACATATTCTCATCTGTTTATGCTCCTCCGGAAAAAGTCATCATTATCAAAATGAAGTACTTTCATCTCAGCCCAGACTCATCCAGGCTGATTCCTTTCATCAGTGTGATTGGATCTGTCTTGGTTGCACTGCTAAGTGCTCTTCTTCAGGGCTGTAGTGCGCTTCTCTGGACGATCTGCTTTCTGTCTCACAGCATCTGGCCTTCAATGAGCAGAAGTAAGATACGCCTTGCCTTTCATGCTTTCCACACTGTGGTTTATCGAGCTGACACCAGTGCTTTCTGAACGCGTGTGAGAATGGACACGCAACGTGAAACGAGATGTTCTTTTGAGGTCGAGGAATAGAAGTAAACCACTGAATGAACGCAGTCGTCTGCATTTATGGCTGTGTGAGTAAAAGGACAAATTTTAACATTTTAAAATTATTATTTGAAATAATAAAAACAATTTTATAATAATTATGCCAAATTACTTTTTTGTTTTTTTGTTTGTTTGTTTGTAAAAATGTCTTTCCTTTATGGATAATGATAACAGGAAAGTTGACATTTTCACTTTGTGCCACATAGAAATACATGAAGAATTAATGGATTAATTAAAAGCATGCTCATCATTTACATGGTGCAAGTAAATGTATATATTAAAGGGGGGTTGACTGCTTTTTTTCTTTGCATGATTGTGTTTATGGGGTGCAATATAACATGTATTCGTGTTTTTTTGTTTGTTTGTTTTTTAAAGTCTTATTTTTCATAAACTTCACCTTAATTGTCAGCCGCGCTCTCCTCTGTCCTCGAACGACTAGTTCACTTCCTGAGTCTATAAAACCACTCCCTCAAAAACAGGCATTGGGCTCAGATTGGTTAGTTCGGGCCAGTGTGTTGTGATTGGCTAAACTGTCGCTCACTCTGTTCGGAAGTTTAACGCCCATTACCTTTACGATCGAAACGTGCATGCCAAAGGTCCTATCATGTAAATAATGGTTACAGTCTATAGTCGATACGTGCAGCATAACTAGTTGCCTAGTGGCTATAAACCCAGCGCTGGCATTTAAAAAAAACACAAGGCTACGTCTGGAATTATACATGCAAATACTACATTTAAAATGATGTCTTAGCCTACTTACAGGTTGTGGCCCAAAAACTGCTGCCTCTGGTTTTAAAGCTGGAACTGCTTCATGTTTTAGTAACAGCTTCTTGTTGAATCCGGTGTTGAATTCGAGGAGATTCTGGAAGCTGTCTTCCGTAAAATGCGCAGCACAGAGAGCTAAATTACGACGTCATTTTCAGGAACATAATCAAACATAAATTGTATCCATTGTTGACGAAGTACAGCGTCCGTGGGAAGCTCGAACACAGAAGACCTGACAGCTGGGTGAACAACACACTCGATGAGCCGCAGAAATATGGTCATGCCTTTTCCTGCATTTTCCAGAGGGAGGGTTGATGCAAATGTGTGGGTTAGTGACACCTAAAACCCAGCTGTAGTCCCAATCGAGTCGTTTTTGTAGGCAATATACTTCCTGATTTTTAAAAGACGATATCTCTGCTTACACTGAACTTTCAGCGCTGCAACTTTGCAGATACTGTTCATGCACCAACAGCAACATTACACACTATTTAAAATGAAAAAAGTGAAATCGCAATCAACCCCCCATTTAACTATATTTGTATAGATATTTCTGAATAAGAAATACATCACCTCACTGACCATTTAGCCAAGGTCAGATCCTAGGGAAACAGATCCCAGTACAGCATAAATATGTGTGAGTGTTTCTGAGTCTCTCAATCACTACTTTGAGCCTGTTTTTCTGAATAATATAATAATGGGACATCAAAGGCCGTCCTTTACCGTCCTCAACACTCCTAAACATCCACTTCACCAACATCCCAAACACTTCTGTTCCTGAGTGTGCTTCAGTCCACCGGTTCCAGCAGCTCCCGTGAGTAAAGCAGAAGGTAAAGGGAGTAAAGCAGAAGGTAAAGTGAGTACCTATGCCCGTTCATGTCGAGTACAACAAACTGCTTCCCGTTTTGAGCATCTCTCTTCCAGAAATGGCTTGAAAGCCTCCTGAGAGTCCCTGCGGCCATTGTTAATTGCTGTGCGCCATTTGGTTCTGTCATTTGCAAGTGCCTCCCAGTTGTCCAGGTTGATGGAGAAAGCCCGAAGATCCCTCTTAATGACGTCTTTAAAACGTATATGGGGGCGATCATGTTTGCGGGGGGCATTTGCCAGCTCGCCATAAAGCAAGATTTTTGGAAGGCGAATGTCGTTCATTCGATATATATGCCCCGTCCAACGGAGATGCCGTTCGCGAAGGATGGTGTACAGGTCACTAGAACTAGTTCTCTCAAGTATGGTAGAGTTTGGCAAATGATCC